CTCATGTAGGGGCGCCAGATGAAAACGGATATCTCCGGATATGACGCCTATGTACATTGGGGTTAATTTAATTTGTTTCATCCCAGCTACGGGCAGTTAAATATTGGATAAAGCTACTTCGTATGAATTCAAATAGATTTCCTCTTCATTGTTATAATATGTTAAAAGCCTTGGATGAAAAGGGTAAATATTGTTTATGTATGTCTGGTTTTTCTCTTGCATGGATATCTCAAGATGTTGGAAATGATAAACTATTTATCTTCATGCTTAAGGAAAGATTAGTTGATATATTTTCACAAGATTGGCACTGTCAAATATCATCCTCAAGGTTTTTATGCCATTATACGAATATAAAATCTTTACTTGTTCCTGAAAAATATGTATCTGTACTTCAGGATAGAACTTTGAGAAGATCTTAGTGTAAATTACGTATATCATTACATAATTTTAATGTTAACAATCTCAGAAGGAAAAATTACAAGATAAAGAAAGTAGTTTATGCCGTTATTGTAATGAAGGCTATGTTGAGGATGAGTTTCATGTACTTCTCATTTGTAAATATTATCGGTTTCTTAGAAATAGATACCTCCCTACAAAGATGAACAACTGATGAGAAATTTGTTGAACTCCTACAATGCAAATACAATATCATCTCTGTCAATATTCCTGAAGAAGATTTTTGAAATTAGACGTTAATATTTTATGTAAACTTATTATTACCTACACGTGACTGTACAATGTTGATACAACACTACTGTACTATAGGTCATATGGCCTAAAATATTGAATAAACTTCTGTCTGTCTGTCTGTTAATTTAAAGTTACCAAATGAGCTAAATTTCTGGTTATCGTGTCGAATGTGTTTTCATTACCAGGTAAATAAGACTCCTAATAAAATGAAAAATGACCAAGTCTTTTTCACAACAGTGTCTCTTTGTCCTGGCAAAGTCAAGACGCAAAAGATGTGTCTTAACCCTCTTGGTGGCACGGGACCATATATGGTCCCTCACTTTTCACACACCCTTAGTGCCACGGGACCATATATGGTCCAGTAAATATGTCTCTTTTCACCTGTGAATTAAGATGTCAAACACTGAGTGCACAAAATCAAAATAATAACCATCATCGCTCCAATCATCTCAGCTTTAACATCGTGTAACTCATATTTTATACAGTGCTGCGGATATGCTGAGTGGTTACCGCGCTTCTTGACCTTTTTCTGCTTGTCGAACTTCAAGCGATTGACGGCGATTTTTTTTATTATACACCCATGTCACACACACGTAACTATTTAGTATCGGACCTCCAATTTGTAAAAGAAATCTGATCAGACTGGTCAGAAAGATTTCCTTTTTCCCACAGTAAAGTTGTTGGCGTAAGAGTACTGACGTTTAGTCCCCAACAGATTTTTGTTTGTTCAAGAACAATCTCATTAAAATCAGATCTTGGTTCTCGCTACCGCTAAACAAAGATCTGAGGACATCCCACGAGGGGTCACGTCAGAACGACCTTTCATCCGACCAATCAGAGCGTCGCTTACCAGATCATGAAAGTGACAGTCGGAAAGTGATTTCTAATCATGCAATCTCGAAAACTTTAACACGTGGTATTCCGAACGATAGTTACGGGTCACACTCCGGCGAAGTGGTGATTTAGCATAACACCACTGCCACAGGCTAATTTGCATATCACGTGACCGGACTGTTCTCTTGTTTGTAAACAAACGCGCTTTTTCAGAAATCAATGTAGAACGGACTAATGCAAGTATTTGGGGGCGCTTTACATATTGTTTTGCATAATTATATAGATATGCTACTACAACTGCGACAGTGAGTTGCATGACAATTTATATTTATGCATCAAAGTGGCCGTATCGCCAGCTCTCCGTTGGGCTTCGATGACAGCACGTGGAGCCGTACAACCAATGTAAACAAAGGATAACTACGCAAAAACAAATAGATTTTCACGTATTATGATACTTTCTTAATGAACCGTAAACATTCTTTGACGTTTGTTTATAAAAATGTGTAGACTTTTCAAACATGAAACGGATGAAAGGCATATTCAATATCTTGAATGGACTGTGAAAGATGTGACGAATCGTCACATGGCGCTGGCCTGTGGCAGAGGTACTATGCTGGCTGGCTGCCGGCCGCATAGAACTCTGGGTAGGAGAGTGGTTACGGGTTGAACGACTGAATCCATACAATCTGGACCATATATTTGCCATTCCAGAATGTTCTTTTGTTCAGGTTTCAAATTTTTAGTCGAGAATTTGTCAAAATATGTTTCGAAGCGTAGTCGCCAATTTGAAATCAGTGCCGTAAAGCACGAGAAAGCTGCCTTCTGATTGGCTAATGTCGACTTCTTGTCAGTCCTTCCATTGGTCGGTCAAAATTCGCGCAGCGTCGGTCTGACGTAACCCGTAATGGGATGTCCTCAGATCTTTGTTTAAGCGATAACGAGAACTAAGATCTGATTTTAATGAGATTGGTTCAAGAATTGCTAATTTTAAACGACTGTGTGTCATGGCGAATTAGCACTAGAGACGAAACTAAAGTGCAGATTGTCGTTCTGTTTATAATGCTGATAGACAGAAAATATTTAAATCTAAGATATGAAAAGACAGCTATGATCGTTTATATTAAGGTGGTACAAGTTGGTTTAGAGGCAGAACGTTCATGATCTACAGGTGAACGACATTGCACTTTCCCATTATATAGAGTATAGTACAGCTGTGCCGCGAATTCTTGTCCTACATGCTCGCCCGTTTCGACAAATAACTGTTGGTCATAGAAATGACTAAGAGTCACCTGTGATTGATCAAACTACCTGACCGTCTTGATGTGTTAGCAAATATATCGAGTGAAGCGGCATGGGTTGAGTCTAGTTCTTTGAGTGGGTTGTCGATCTGAATTACGGTATCACCGACAACAGCCTTGAAACAAAATATGGCGCTGTATATGCTCAAGCAGTTTGTTTACACCGTGATACTTCACTCGAACATATGACAAGCATTGGAAGCATATGAGCACCTCAACTTCGTAAATTAACATATGGTGGGCACCCCTAAACTTAGTTTCCACCCTTGCCGAACTAGGCTGGAGTTTCTGGGCTCGATCGTAGCGCCCCCAGTGGCTATTACGAATTATGCCCCTTCTATGTCCCTCCTATTGACCAGTCAGATTCCGCCCTCATGTCACATGCATTTGCTTCAAATAAAATGGCGTCGCCAAGCCAAGACGATCTGCTCGATAATCAGAATCTGTTTGTAATAAAACAGGTCTTACTAACAAAAAAACATGAAAACATTTGGAAAATATCTGATGACGCTAAGTTGACAGTACACATGCTTTACAAATCTTGCAATCGACCTAAATCTGCACGGCAGTTTACGAATCAGATGATTCGACGTCACAGTCGTATATAGAAACACGCCAAATTCCAAGCTCTGTTCGGTATTTGGAGAAAAGGTGTGGTTATCGACGTGAGGATTGTGAGAATTTTCGGGAAATACCCACCTGTGTATAAAATGGATTTGTCCAACATTGCCGAGGTCGGATTTTAATGAGGGAGTCATCATTATCAAAATACGGGTAAAGAATTTTAAAGCTTGTACATTTTATTATCATCCTTAAAGAGGCCGTACATAATGTTTCTCTCCCTTAACACAACTACAACATATTGGGATACTGTACAGTGCACTGACTTACCACAGTTCATTCTTCAACACATATCCACATTATCATCAACATCGTCAGCATCAGCAACATCACAAGCATCATGACCATCAACACATCCAAATTTACATGAATCTATACTCGATGCTTCACATTTCCAACGTATACATATACAGAGGCATCGGCGCCTTATCACGTATTCTAATGGCTCGTCAGCGCATACACATCAGAGTAGATCCCAAATCCACACTCTCACAACTAGGTCAAAAACCTATGAAAAGAGCCTTCATTGATGATCCTATGACTTTTGGTTATTTAGTAAGGCCAAAATCCAATAGGGACTGCCGGCCATCTTGGATTTTGCCAATATGGCGGCCCCATTGGTCTACACCTCTGCCAGATTTGATGCTTGTGGACACATCTGCACGATACCCCCTAACGGCTCCCTAAGGGCCTAGGCTATAACTGAACATGATTAATATAGCCAGCCCCGACTGCACCGCACCTGAGAATGAATTAGGTTTAAATTCGCGCCTTTAATTGTACACCCCTTACGGAACAAGGTTATTTCCCCTTGGTTGTGCTTTCCGACGTTAGGGGAAAATAATTTCGTTCTAATTCGTCCCTCAAACGAAAGAAGTTATATTTCTTCCAACAGTGTTTTATTGTACGATAAACAACGACCACGAATCGTTTATCTATATAAAACACTGCAGGGAGAAAAAGCCACTCGGGTTTTTATTGTACGAACAACAAACGTCGTTTATTTCTTGAATAAACCAGGCTTCGTTCTTCATTGTTCTTAGCTATCCTATATATCGGCTTGTGAAACCAGGGATCGAGGTTGATGGACGGCAAGGTTTTGTAACATCATTAGTTCAAAAGGGCAAGTGAATGAGTGGAATTGCGTCCCTTTGAACAGTATTTTAGTTGTATCAAGGCGTGTCAGCTTGATGTCGAAGCAAAGTGATGCAGGTCTTTGACGTTTACCACTTTAGTGGAACCCACGAGCACAGGTATGGTGCTGCCAAACCTAGAAACGTTCAGAGCGAATCATGATTTGAACCCGTGATCATTGGTTTCTGGCACGTCTAAGGGACGTAACTCTGCACAGCTATTTGATGCGCCTCGGACAAATTGTCCTTTTGAGTAAATTGAGCGCTAAATACAATACGACAGGATAAACTTCAAGCGGGGTCGCGTTTATGGTGAGTGAGTAAAAACATTAACATCATATCGGCAGTGTGTCAGCTGTATAACGAGTAATACAACACGAGCTGTTTGATTTTTAAGATATATCTCTGGTATTTCATTTTGCAGCAGTTGTCCCCCTTGTCTCTGGACAGGCGAGATGTGACCTTGCCAAGGCCAGTGAATGTATAGAAGAACTGGAGTCCATCTTGAATGACACGAAGGACGAAGGAAGGACGGTTCAAGACAAGATTCGAATGTGCACGTGAGTCTTTAAGACATGGACAGCATAGCACGCTGTGCAGAAGAGCTCGTTATCTCACAGAGGCTGAATTCACTAAAGCCGACCCATGGCTTTAAAGCTAAGACGATAGTAACTCCCATATTTTAGCAAAGACTTCATCCAGTCGTAGCGCGAAGACGACCATAATCCCTATACTCTAGCAAAGATTTCAGGCAGTCGTAGCGCGAAGACGACCATAATCCCTATACTCTAGCAAAGATTTCAGACAGTCGTAGCGCGAAGACGACCGTAATCCCTATACTCTAGCAAAGATTTCAGGCAGTCGTAGCGCGAAGACGACCATAATCCCTATACTCTAGCAAAGATTTCAGACAGTCGTAGCGCGAAGACGACCGTAATCCCTATACTCTAGCAAAGATTTCAGACAGTCGTAGCGCGAAGACGACCGTAATCCCTATACTCTAGCAAAGATTTCAGACAGTCGTAGCGCGAAGACGACCGTAATCCCTATACTCTAGCAAAGATTTCAGACAGTCGTAGCGCGAAGACGACCGTAATCCCTATACTCTAGCAAAGATTTCAGACAGTCGTAGCGCGAAGACGACCGTAATCCCTATACTCTAGCAAAGATTTCAGACAGTCGTAGCGCGAAGACGACCGTAATCCCTATACTCTAGCAAAGACTTCAGACAGTCGTAGCGCGAAGACGATCGTAACTCCCATTTTTAGCAAAGAATTGAGACAGTCGTTGCGCGAAGACAATCGTAATTCCAATATATGCAGTCTCAGGGGTTGAAAAATACCATTGCCCGACGCCCGTGCCAAGTAAGGTTTAGATGTCGGGCGTGTAATATACGTTTTCTAGCATGCCCGTGGACAAGTAGAGCATACAAAATGAACTGGGTCAAGTTTCACGGGAATGTAATCATGTGATCATGTTACGGTATTTGATTGGCTAATATTTTGTTAGTGTCCCAGACTGACAATGTAATTTGCATACAGCTACGCCAGTCAACCAATGGAATTAATACATTTCGATGTCAGGCAGGTCAACAACGAGAACCAGGCTTGTTTCATTGTTAAATCGTAGTAACACTTCCATATATGGCACATGTTTCTTGGAAATGGAATTTCTTGGAAATTGTAACGCGAGGTTGAAACATTTTCCGACTTTAGATGCTTCGTTAGGCCTAGCTTTGATGAAATATAATTTTGTCGACCTACAACAAACGGGACTTTTAACGAGTGAAAGTATGGCATTTATTTAATATGTGTTTCTTTTCGTTGTCAACTAAAGTTCATTCGAGGCGCTGGCCGTGGTTGCTGTAAATAACGGCGAGTTGTGCGATCTATCGACCCCTTTACGCACGATTTCGGCAAAATTGATCTAAACTGTATTGAATGAAATTTTAAATAAAATTAATAAAATATGCTACAAACATATGTCAAGGTACAAACGTGTTTTTTTTTATAACCAGATAGTAATAATAGGATTTAATTGCGGAATTTGTTGATTGGTATTTCCGGTGTTGCGTGCAGGTGGTAATGTGTTTGCGATGGGGAAATGTCATCGTGTCAGTGACTTGAGTTTACTAAAAGTGTATATAAGTTTTGGGAACCATGTGTTACCGCACACAATAACCGAGTTAGCGCTATATTGAAGAGTGCAATAGCGAGGGATCACTGTAGTAAATCTGTTGATTCAAATGAGTAAGCTAGTAAAGGACAGAGTAGCCTCCCTTTGCGTCATTAGCACCCAGAGGGGTATCTGCAATAACAATTTATATTGCCACTACCGCACATGGCCGATCATGTCTCAGCGGTCTATTTTAAGTTTCTTTGGCGGTGGGGACGAACTTAAAAGGAAGGCAGAGGGAAATTCCGAAAGTTGTATATCGGCAAAGAATAAGAAGTATGACGAATGTAAACGAAAACGAACATTCATCGCTGGGTGGAAAGACCGTTTCCTTGGGTTGCGTATGATGACACAGCGAAAGTCATGAAGTGCAGCATTTGTTCCAAGTACCCAAACATACACGCTTGCAATCGTAAGAGAACGTTTATTGATGGATGTTCAAATTTCAGAATTTTATTCTCAGTTCTGCAGCAGTAACATTTTACTGAATTTATTACCTTTATTTTGGGCTAGTACATTTTAAAATAGGGCAAGTGAGAATGTTGGTCATACTTGCCCTTGGTCAAGTAACATTTTTAATAATTTTTCAACCCCTGAATGCAGTTGCAAAGACGTTAGATAGTCGAAGCATGATCGCTTCTAGATCTCATGTCGCACCGGGGTTATGACTGCAAGATTGGTGAGTGAGTGAATACACTGTTACGCCGCTTTACGCCTGTAAATACTTATATATTATTCTAAGGCAGGAACACTGATGGTGGATAGCGTGAGAAGCGACCAACCCCGCCCGGGTATACGATACCATAGAACAGACCAGGGTGCCGTTGTACAAAGCGATCTCAGCGCTAAGGGGATCGTAACATCAATACCTTAACACAGACTTACGACAGTCGAACGCAGGTTGTTTTGTACAACGGCACCCTGGTTATGCATTGTGACCATTCAATCCTCACGTTCGTCTGCTCTTACGTTTGTTGTTTAACGCTGCACTCAGCAATACTACAGCTTTATCATAGCAGCCTGATCGTTCCAGGGCAATACAAACCACGACGGCCACTGCTGATGTTAATAGCAGCATCCCATACCGTCGGGGTTACGATGACACGCAACCAACCGGCCACCCGATCCATTTAGTCGCCTCTTACGACCAGCATAAAGGAACTTGTAGCGTACCCGAATGTCATGTACTACTACTACTACCACTACTACTACTACTACTACTACTACTACTACTACTACTACCAATACTACTACCAATACTACTACTACTACTACTACTACTACTACTACTACTACCACTACTACTACTACCAATACTACTACCAATACAACTACTACTACTACTACCAATACTACTACTACTACAATACTACTACTACTACTACTACTACTACCACTACCACTACTACTACTACTACTACCACTTCTACTACCACTACTACTACTACTACTACTACTACCACTTCTACTTCTACTACTACTACTACCACTACTACTACTACCACTACTACTACCACTACTACTACTACTACTACAACTACTACTACTACTACCACTACTACTACTACCAATACTACTACCACTACTACTACTACTACTACCACTACTACTACTACCAATACTACTACCACTACTACTACTACTACAACTACTACAATACTACTACTACTACTACTACTACTACTACTACTACTACCACTACCACTACTACTACTACTACTACTACCACTTCTACTACCACTACTACTACTACTACTACTACCACTTCTACTACTACTACTACAAGGTTGTATAATAATGGTCCCGAAGTTCGAGGAGAAGATTGTTCCATTGATGTGTTACTGCATTGGAGAAAGATGGATGTCTATGAGTACCAAGCGTAACTTGAAGCACAAGAGGTAGACGTGATTCAGAACAGAGAGATGTGGATGGCATGTTGGGTGAAGGTGACCGAGACATGCTGGAATGCAGGGTGAAGGTCACAGAGATATGATGGAGCTGTTTGAGAGTGGCACTGATAGGCAAAACAGGGAAATTGAAAGTTGATGTGCAGTTGTACAGGAAGCCAATGAAATTCGTATGACCATGGGCTTCGGGGACCTAGAATTCCCATGAGGGCAAAATTGAATTACTCATACAGTGACTAAATTCTAACTTTCATCGTAATTAAAGATATACTTCACGTTTGCCTTAAAATTTTAAAAATGCCAACATATACTGAAATTGGTGTTATGTAACAACACGCAAACGCGATGTAAACTCCTTTTCACCTCACCTCACCTAAAAGATTGGGGGAACGAGTGGCGCCGCAATTCACTGTGCAGAGTTGCGTCCCTTGGACACGCCAGAAACCTATGATTGTGGGTTCGAATCCCGGTTCGCCCCGATTCTGTTTCTAGGTTTGTCAGCACCATACCCGTGCTAACCCCGTGCTAGTGGGTTTCACCGAAGTGGTAAACGTGTAAGACCTGCATCACTTGGGGCTTTCCTCCCACATTAAGCTGACACGCCGTGATATAACTGGAATACTGTTAAAAGCGGCGTTAAACACAACTCACACTGTGCAGAGTTTTGCCCCTTGGGCACGACAGATGTCATGTGGGTTCGAATCCCAGTTCGCCCCGATTATGATTGTAGGTTTGTAAATACCATACCCACGAGTATCGCCAAAGCGGTAAACGTCTTAGACCTGCATCATTTCGAGCTTTCCTCCCAGATGAAGCTGACACGCTGTGATACAACTGGAACACTGATCAAAGCGGCGTTAAACCCAAGTCACTCACTCACTCAACTAAAGGTTTATTCATTTAACAATACTATGAACATATCATGATCTGTTTCAGATTGACGTTGCGTAACAATAACATCAGTACTTGTTACACGATGAACACAGCCATGTGCCCTGACAATCCCGACACTCAACGTCAAGCAAGTCGGTGGAGTTCTATCACAGACGAGATCGATCTATTCTGTGATAATGGTATGTTTCTCTTCATTTGACTATGTATGTTTGAGATCCGGGGTAGAATAGGTCTTCAGCAACCCATGCTTGCCGTAAAAGGTGACTATGCTTGTCGTAAGAGGCGACTAACGGGATCGGGCGGTCAGGCTCACTCACTTAGTTGATGCTCATGTTATCAATCACTTGATCCAGACTCAAATATTTACAGACCGCCGTCATATAGCTGAGTGCGGCGTTTAACAACAAACAAACATACAATTGCTTGTCGTCTTGTTTGTTTGTTGTTCGACGGTCTGTAAATAATCGAGTCTGGACCAGATAAATCCAGTTATTGATATCATGAGCATCGATCCACGCAATTGGGATCGATGACATGCATCAACCAAGTCAGCGAGACTGACCACCCGATGCCGTTAGTCGCCTCTTACGAGCATAGTCGCCTTTTACGTCAAGCATGGGTTGCTGAAGACCTATTCTATCCCGGGTCTTCACGGGTGCTAAGCTTGTCGCAAGAGGCGACTAACGGGATCGGGTGGTCACGCACACTGACTTGGTTGATACATGTCATCATATCCCAGACTCGATTATTTGGAGACCGTCGTCTTATAGCTGGAATATTGCTGAGTGCGGCGTTAAACGAACAAACAAATGTATGTATGAAGTGAGCCGAATGCTCGTTGTCGCTTCATTCAAATAGTCTGGTTGCTACGATACACGTTACCAATTCTTCCATCTCACGCCAGACTGCCAGGATTACAAGGAGATAAAAGCATGCAAGGAGAAGGTCAATATGGACGCCATAGACCAGGGAACCCCGTCCATCTTTTGTAGGTAAGTGATTTTTGATGAAACAAGAATATAGATAGTTTGTAACTTCTTACCCTTTGAACAATACATTTCGGAACTAATTCTATAATCGCCCCTCTTTCACTAACCTGATGCGTTGGAGGGGTGGTGTGGGGATGTTGGAGTGAGTGAGTAAGTGAGTATGGTTTTACGCCGCTTTTAGCAGTATTCCAGCAATATCACGGCGGGGGACACCAGAAATGGGCTTCACACAATGTACCCATGTCGGGAATCGAACCCGGGTCTTCGGCGTGACGAGCGAACGCTTTAACCATCTAGGCTACCCGACCGCCCCGTGGGGGTGTTGGAGGAGGATCTTGAATTTTTTTAAAAATGCTTTATCCTCCCAAATCCTGACAAATATAAATATCTTGCGTTAGTTCATATCTCAAAATTAAATTGTTGACTAGATGGCCTGAGAAAAAATATGTCGAGGGTCCTAAAAAACTCTTAATGTGGAGATGTTTTATTTGGACATGCATTGAGAGAAAAAAGTTTTCTGTCACTGAGAAATATTTACCCGATACACTCTGGAATATATATATGATCGGCCCTTTACGATCCAGGGCCCCTTTCCACAAAATGATCTTAGTGCTACGATCTTCGTAACTCCCATACTTTAACATAGGCTTACGACAATCGTAGCACTAAGATAGCCTTGTGGAACAGGCCCCAGCTCACCTTCTTAAATGCTCTTTTTCTGACGATGTCCTGTTTTACTTCCCTGACAGGTATTTAATGATAAAAGAACTTGGGACCTACAATGTTTACAGGTCCTTACAGTTCTGTCACTATCCCTAGTGTACAGTGACCGCCTCCGTGGTCTAATGGTAGAGTGTGCTAGCACTATAAATCGGCATAAGTCCGGACTAGTACAAGCAGCCACACACACACATACGTGCATGCACGTCGCTATAAAAGTGCAATAATCTTGGACGCGACCCCATTAAAACCTCACCTCTAGTGTACAGTACATTGACTCTGTTCCTTAAAAAGAACCCACTCATCTGATGGTAGATGACCAGATGGTAGAAACACGAATACGTACATACTCCCGAAACACAAGTGTCAAAACGTGTGGTGTCACCCTGGGCAAGTGACTTAGTTCAAATGTGCCTCTGTTCACCCAGCAGGGAATGGGTACCCGATATGTTGAATATAAAACTCTGTAGCGCCAACAGGCAGCTTGGGTTGCATCCTCCCCAGGGAGTAGAGAATGATAACTTAAATGCAAACAGATACAATGGTCGGGGAACAAATAAAACCGCATTTGACAGATCCTAGTAACTGGATATACATGCGGTATGTAAATGTATAATACAGTAAACTACGGTTATAACGAACACGCTTATAACGAACTAACGGATATAACGAACATACTTTTTAGTCCCGACTATATGCTGTAGCTATTCTGTATATATGCTTATAACGAATTACGGTTATAACAAACTAACATTAGTTGTCCCTTTGAGTTCGTTATAACCGTAGTTTACTGTATTATAATAATAACTTGTCTCCATCGCGAATTAGCTGGAAATCTAACGATTATTGTAAATTTTAACTCACTCACTCACTCACTCTGGTAACGCCAGTGTTGTTGTCATTTCGCGTTGTTTTACAGGACGTATGGCGAGAGTAAGCAGTGTTTGGCCGACAACATTGACGGCGACAGCTGCGGGTACAAGGAAGACATCTACGACGCTCTGTATGACGGGTCGTACTTCAGAAACTACTACCAGAACGTCTGTCTAACTGGTGAGAGTCAGCACACTGTACCATATTGCGTTAGTTGCATGGGACAACAGACCACCTAGCGATCGTAACTCCGATACGTAATCATTGTTTGTTTTTAGTTGTATGTTTGTTGTTTAACGCCGCACTCAGCAATATTCCAGCTATACGACAGCGTCTGTAAATAATCGAATCTGGACCAGACAATCCAGTGATTGATACCCAATCATTAACTCAAAATACGACACACCCCGAGAGAAGCTGTCCGTCGGATACGTTCGTCATCACTCGCCCCTTTCCGTAACATGCAAGAAGACTCGTACCCCTATTGATGAATGTCATGTGAGAAAATACGTTAAACCAATCAGAATGCGCGTATGACTTCCCGTACTTCTGTCAATGAATCCCTGAGGAATAATTTTTGATTTTACATAATTATAATATACCCTAGATACAGTTAAAAGTGTTCAATCCTACTGTATAAATCCCGATGTGTTCTAAATTGCATCTGGAATATATGTAACAGTTGAGTGTATGTCTTTTCACAGTGAACAAACACGTGCTACGGGGTTGTAGTCTTTATTGCGATGCTTTTTTGTGTAAGATCAAAGATCTAAGAAATCAGACACCCAGAAACACATAGGGAAATGATAAATAATAGGTACAACATTATCATTAATGCCAGATACATAGCATAGGCTTATTACAAGTATTACATATATCAGTCATCCATTAAAATACCAGATAGACTGTACGCTAAACGATTATACTAGAACATATACAGTAATATACATTCTACACAATACTGGCATCCAAGGGAGATAACTCCTTCTCTTTCATTTGGCTGTATAATATATACACAATATAAATACATAACGCTTACACATTCTGTATAAACATATACAATACTTTAAGACAGAAATGAATAATATTATGATATTACATTAAATGTGGTCGTAACATTTAGATTACATCTGAAGACCTAGACAAACATAAACATTGCAATGCATACCCTGTAGCATTCGTCACCACTCGCCCCTTTCCGTAACCTGCAAGAAGACTCGTCCCCCACTCGATGAATGTTATGTGCGAAAATACGACAAACCAATCAGAATGCGCGTATGATTTCGAGTTCTTTGTCAAATAATCCCTCAGAAATAATTTTTGATTTTACATATGTCTTGCATCTAAAAATATACCCACGACACAGTTAAATGTGTTCAATCATACTGTATAATTCCGCATGTCCCGATGTCCTTTAAATTACATCAGTAAAATATATATTATATGGGGAAATATATGTGAACCATTACGCAACGAGTTGACAATTGTTTTAGGTATGCCCGTTTGCGCTAAGACGGAACCTAGTCGCAAAAATGGCCATGAGAGGGGCACGAGTCGCTATTCGGCTTGTCCCGGAATACCACGAGTTGGTCACGAATGACCCTGTAGGTGATAAGGGTGTGGATCCCCACTGCCACAATTATGGCAACACCATAGTCATTGATCTGAATAAATAATACATAGACTAAAACACTATTTAACATTTAACATATTGAACAAAGTAATATACACATTTTATTTACAATGATTCGCATGTATCCCATCTGAATCTGTACATTACAAAGCTTTTTAAAACATTCTTGAAGTAAACACTTTCACACATATTTCATAGAAGTGATAGAATATATTTTAGTGATAAATTATGGTTGTTTAGCTTACCTTATGCAGATTTAAATAATTGGACATAACCAACATTTATATTAGTTTACATACATTTAGTTTCTTAATATAACACTTGAAAGATACTGTATTATTTCAAAACAACACAAAATGGAGATTATAGTCATTAAACTCGCCTGATTTAAGATTACGTCTTTACCCTTTTTCTGATCTGAGAGAGTATGCAGTGTAATAAAAGCATGTAGTTTAACAATGGGTCTTAGCTTGGCCAATCAGCATACGAAGCTTCTGGCCATTGGGCAATTAGTAGGTGATACGGGTCAGATACACTTTGTTATAGCTGAGTGAAACTAACAACTAGTTATATTTAATAAATACATATAAAAACTTGAAATGAAATGAAAACAAATATATACAAAACCTACATCGGCCACATATATATGACATGGAGGAAATATACGTGAATCATTACGCAACGAGTTGACAATTCTTTTAGCTATGCCCGTTTGCGCTTAGACGGAACCCAGTCGCAAAAATGGCCACGAGAAGTTACGAGTCGCTATTCGGCTTGTCCCGAAATAACACGAGTTTGTCACGAATGCGCCTGATACGCCATTTCATTCGAACACATCTTTTTGTCCTTTGTTGACAGAGTCGTATGCAACATCTGTTTACATGCACCACGTTTGCCCTCGTAAATGTACACTAGAGGCGTACGGTATTTGTTCCACCTATTGAATAGGGATATTTAAAGCCCTACCGTGACTAATATCCCGTTCACATGCACAACATTTACAAACGTAAGTAATTTTGCACGTGTAACTATACATACGCGTGTTTTGGTAAATGCATTATGCGTTCACATAAAAATCAACTTAGGTGTGTAAATAAAGTATGTAAATTGTGTAATACCCCGTTCACATGCGCCTCTATACATATGTGGGTATAGCACACATGTGTGTAGAAATACATTAAATTACATTGAATTAAATCAAACATGTTGCTTCACGCGAAAATGTTCGGTGAAGTTACTCTCTTCTCATTCAACTTTGATTGGAAAACAACCTGACGAATATGTGTATGTAAATTTACTATGCGCTCACATGAAAAGCAACGCATACAAGTTGGCAACTGTTGACAATTTCTTCGGTGTTGGCAAAAGAACTGATATTACTTAGATCATCCTCTTACGTTAATATAAACGTTCACATTGCAACATATACACACAGTGCAAATTTACATTTGCACCTGCTCCAGACATGATGCAAATGTGCTCCTGGACTAAATATACACACATGAGTAAAAGCGTTCACATGACGAGTATACTCATATGTATGTATTGCTACACACGTATGCACATATACACACATATGTATAGAGGCGTATGTGAACGGGGTATAAATCGTTTCGTGGATCATTATAGACAAACGGTCCAGGTGGATGGGTGTTTACAATGTCGTCACCCGTTTACGCATTAACCAATGATATTTGTGTGTCATCATGACCTCATATTGACCTGTCAGATCACCCGTTTGTTGAAATATGAACGGGTCATGTGAGCAGCAAATAAACCAACCACATGACCGGAAATTCCTTAAACTTACAAATACGAATATTGTCGAAATTTGTGTGTTATCATATGACCTCATATTGACCTGTCAGATCACCCGTTTGTTGAAATATGAACGGGTCATGTGAGCAGCAAATAAACCAATCACATCACCGGGAATTCCTTAAACTTACAAATACGAATCTTATCGAAATTTGTGTGTTATCATGACGTCATATTGACCTGGCAGAGACGCCACCGAGAGTGCGGTAGTTCCAACCGCTTTAACACCATGGGGTAATTTTACGAAAAAAGAGAAGTTTATACGACAAACTTTACCCGTCAGATTGGACATTTATTCCAAGGTTTATTGTGCCTTTCAAAAACAGAAATATTCATAAAATCGTTTATAGGTTTTTGAAATTTGTCTTGCAGATTGTCCTAACCTCGACGAGACAGTGAACATTCTGAAAAACTGCTATACTTTCTTAGAAAATTATGACGTATCCAACGTCTGCCCGTAAGTGTGATTTATGCACGTATCTTCGTATGTTGCCATACTCGTACTGCCCTGCTTTTATGCTATAGCATCTTGCTATGATGCGATACTGTCTTGCTATGATGCTAAACTGTCTTGCTATGATGCTAAACTATCTTGCTATGATGCGATACTGTCTTGCTATGATGCTATACTTTCTTGCTATGATGTGATACTGTCTTGCTATGATGCTATACTTTCTTGCTATGATGCTATATTCTCTTGCTATGATGCTATACTGTCTTGCTATGATGCTATACTTTCTTGCTATGATGCTATACTGTCTTGCTATGATGCGATACTGTCTTGCTATGATGCGATACTGTCTTGCTATGATGCTATACTGTCTTGCTATGATGCTATACTTTCTTGCTATGATGCGATACTGTCTTGCTATGATGCGATACTGTCTTGCTATGATGCTATACTTTCTTGCTATGATGTGATACTGTCTTGCTATGATGCGATACTGTCTTGCTATGATGCTATACTTTCTTGCTATGATGCTATACTGTCTTGCTATGATGCTATACTTTCTTGCTATGATGTGATACTGTCTTGCTATGATGCGATACTGTCTTGCTATGATGCTATACTTTCTTGCTATGGTGCTATACTGTCTTGCTATGATGCTATACTGTCTTGCTATGATGCTATACTGTCTTGCTATGATGCGATAGTGTCTTGCTATGATGCTATACTTTCTTGCTATGATGCGATACTGTCTTGCTATGATGCTATACTTTCTTGCTATGATGCGATACTGTCTTGCTATGATGCGATACTGTCTTGTTATGATGCTAGACTGTCTTGCTATGATGCGATACTGTCTTGCTATGATGCGATACAGTCTTGCTATGATGCTCGACTTTCTTGCTATGATGCGATACTGTCTTGCTATGATGCTATATTTTCTTGCTATGATGCGATACTGTCTTGCTATGATGCTATACTTTCTTGCTATGATGGTATACTGTCTTGCTATGATGCTATACTTTCTTGCTATGATGCTATATTTTCTTGCTATGATGCGATACTGTCTTGCTATGATGCTAGACTGTCTTGCTATGATGCTATACTGTCTTGCTATGATGCTATACTTTCTTGCTATGATGCGATACTGTCTTGCTATGATGCTATACTTTCTTGCTATGATGCGATACTGTCTTGCTATGATGCTATATTCTCTTGCTATGATGCGATACTGTCTTGCTATGATGCTATACTTTCTTGCTATGATGGTATACTGTCTTGCTATGATGCTATACTTTCTTGCTATGATGCTATATTTTCTTGCTATGATGCTATACTGTCTTGCTATGATGCTAGACTGTCTTGCTATGATGCTATACTGTCTTGCTATGATGCTATACTTTCTTGCTATGATGCTATACTGTCTTGCTATGATGCGATACTGTCTTGCTATGATGCTATACTCTCTTGCTAAGATGCTATGTTCTCTTGCTATGGTGCTATACTATCTTGCTATGATGCTATACTCTCTTGCTAAGGTGCTATGTTCTCTTGCTATGATGCTATACTATCTCGCTATGATGCTATACTCTCTTGCTAAGGTGCTATGTTCTCCTGCTATGATGCTATACTGTCTTGCTATGATGCTATACTCTCTTGCTAAGATACTATGTTCTCTTGCTATGGTGCTATACTATCTTGCTATGATGCTATACTCTCTTGCTAAGGTGCTATGTTCTCTTGCTATGGTACTATACTATCTTGCTATGATGCTATACTCTCTTGCTAAGGTGCTATGTTCTCTTGCTATGATGCTATACTGTCTTGCTATGATGCTATACTCTCTTGCTATAGTGCTATATTATCTTGCTATGATGCTATACTCTCTTGCTAAGGTGCTATGTTCTCTTGCTATGATGCTATACTGTTTTGCTATGATGCTATAGTCTCTTGCTAAGGTGCTATGTTCTCTTGCTATGATGCTATACTATCTTGCTATGATGCTATACTATCTTGCTATGGTGCTATACTTCTCAGTTATAATGCGACACTATCCTGCTGAGATGTTACTCTGTGAACCCCATCATACTATGATGCCCATCCATGATTGCTAAGATGTATTTTATTCTAACACGATATTCTTCACTTGTCTCCCGCTACGGACTACATACTGTGTATCTGTCCAACTGGAATGTTATTATGACACAGATTTATACAAAATATACACGCAAGTTTACGATTTTTGTTTCGTTAATCGTTTTCGTATGTTTACATAAAGTAAATTCTACATCTATCCCTTTGGGAAGCGCACACGGTGTATAAGCAAATATATAGAGCGTCAGTGCTGGAGAATAAACAGTCCGAAAACAGGTGTTAGCTATAGTATTTAGTGAAATGGTATTCTACTGAAGTGTGAGTGAACTTAATTGTGATGATGCCGTTAGACAATAATAGTCCACTGAATTTCAGGGCTCATCGCAACTTCAGCAAGTGTTTAAACAGCTACCCCGCCAAGCCGTGTGATCAGTTCCACACCCTCATCCCCCTCATCCTCTACCGGTACGACTACCTGAAGAACCACAGGCTTTGTCAGGACGATGCCTGTCAACGAGCTCGCACCTGCCAATCACATGTCCAGAGACAGTATGACACCACCCTCGGTAGCTATGTTGACCGATCAAGTACTCTGTATCTGGACGATTTATGTTTGTAAGTGTACCGCGTCTTGAGATATTCGGTTAGTTTTGTTTGTTTGTTTGTTGTTGCAATATTCCAGCGAAGTGACGTCTGTCTGTAAATAATCGAGTCTGGACCATACAATCCAGTGATTGATATCATGAGCATCGATCCACGCAATTTGGATACAATATGCATCATCCACGTCAACGGTGCCTGACCACCCGATCACGGGATCTTACCCTGCGACGTGCATCCAATCACTTGAACACCTTGATTAAAAACGTGAACAGATTTGCCAAATATATGTCGACGCCCAGTTGACGGTACACACCGAAATCTGCTTATTGAAATCCATGTCGTTAGTCCAGCCAAAATGTAACTCCGGAATTCCAGCCTAGTTCGGCAAGGGTGGAAGGTGGACTTTCATAGTCAGTTAACGGGAAGATGGAGTATGGTCGGTTAGCGAGAGTGGACGTATTTTTGAATGAAAATGTATCAGTGAGTGAGTGAGTGAGTGAGTGGGGTTATACGACGTTTTATGTGTGTTATCAATCCCAATGGAGCGGACCAAATGTTGATCATACACTAGTTTGCCTTGACCCGGCTCCGTTATTTAAATGCCACTGTGATAAAGCCATACCGTTTATCCAGGGTAATACATCTCCATTCCGAAATACCCTAGACCTCTTCGCCTCATTTAATTTCGGAAATGACGTCACTCTCCCAACATTTCAACTTGAAAATCGAGTTCGTAACAATCCCTGTAAATTATAAACTATACGAATAGTAGTATACCCGTCTGCGTCTGTTTGGGACTCCCGCTCCGGGAAGCCATTTTTGTTTGCAAAACCTAGAATTGTAAGAAAGGCGGTAATTCTTGAATCACCAATCAGCGGCTATTCAAGATATAACATGTACGTTGACTAGGCCCGATGTGCTTTTCAATTGGCATTTATCACTGTGTTTGTCGCAGACGTTTTTTCCGAATGGAACTGTTAGTGAATCTCGCGATCGGCTGATACACACTCATTTTATCTAACAGTTGTAATATACGCAATCGTTTTATCTAATAATTGTTATATACGCATTGATTTTATTTCAATACCGTATTTCTTGCGTATTTGAGCACTAGGATTTGATTTGTCTGCGTATTGCAGTTTATTTAATGCGTATTATACGCAAATGAGCATCTTATCTCAAACTCCGGCTCAATTATTTTCATGCAGATGGAAGATTGATAAATGCGGCGTTAAACAACATTTACTCACTCACTACAAGACACCAGACATTACTATATCCGATCCACTTCTATACTTATGTATTTGGTTTCTGGATAAAGAAGAAACGCACGATGTTCCTACACATGGCGATTGCATCTTAGAATGGGCCATCGGTTAAAATCGAACAATGCCGGTCAAGGACGAGGGTCATCTGAATGTCTCCAAACCAGATTCTTCTCTTCAATTGGTTCTGTTGTCTCAGGCAATCGGATCATACCATAAGAACATTAGACTCGGATTCGGAAGTTATCTTGTGATGACCACCTTATTATCTCAGTATATGTTGACACTGACACATATTGCGAAACCTATCATTTCAGGGTTGTAATTAGTGGCAACAATCACACGGAGTGTTACGATGAACACATTGACGAATGTACAACAGTACCGTCACATCCCCTCAGACAGCAGTGGGGTGAAGTGTTCAGGGACATACACAACTTGTGCAATAAAGGTACGTCTGTGTTTGGGCTGAAGATTATAGTCCTTGTGTTTATAACCTAGATTAAAGCCCTTGTGCCTAGATTAAAGCCCTTGTGTTTATAACCTAGATTAAAGCCCTTGTGTTTATAACCTAGATTTAAGCCCTTGTGTTTATAACTTAGATTTAAGCCCTTGTGTTTATAACCTAGATTAAAGCCCTTGTGTTTATAACCTAGATTAAAGCCCTTGTGTTCAAACCTAGATTTAAGCCCTTGTGTTTATAGGTGAGGTGAAATTGGGTTTAACGTCGCGTCCAAGATTATTGGACTTATATAGCGACGTGCATGCACGTGTGTGTTTGTGTGGCTGCTTGTACCGGACTGATGCCGATTTATAGTGCTAGCTCACTGAGATACCATGCCACAGTTTAACATGAATACCCCACTCAGACACAGTATACTGACTCCGAGCCGACCAGTCCTTTTTTTAGCCCCTTAATGCCGAGCGCCAGACAGGGTAACAACAAGTACCATCTTTTAACGTGTATGGTCGGTATGACGCGGTCGGGGATCGAACCCTGGACCTTTCACTCCCTGGGCGGACGCTCTACCACTAGACCACGGAGGCGGTCCCTTGTGTTTATAACCTAGATTTAAGCCCTTGTGTTTAAAAAACCTGTTTCACCGCGAATAGCTGCAATATTGCTAAAGCGACTAAAAGCTATGTATACTCATTCACTCATAATCACTTAAATGTTGATCGAACACAATTGTGTCACTGAACAGAGTGATCAATGTGACACAAGTTGCCTTTTTCAGTTCGTGGGTAATAATGTATACACCCGTCCAGAAAAAGAAACAGGCATTGTTTCTGGAATATTATGTCCCCAGTCCACAAAGCTATTGTCGGCTACCAGTGTCGTAACCATGGTAACTCCCATCCTTTAACACAGACAAAAGACGTTTGTAACTCCTGTAGTTTTGGAGAGTCCTTTTCATCCTGGTACACTGAAAGGTGAGGATACGGCTAGCCGTGCCGCAATTCGCTGTGTAGAGTTACGTCCCTTTCGCACGCCAGAAACCTGTGATTGTGGGTTCGAATGCCTGTTCGCCCCGATTATGTTTCTAGGTTTGTCAGCACCTTACCCGTGCTTGTGGGTTTCACCGAATTGGTAAAGAGGCCTGCATCACTTGGGACTTTCCTCCCACATTAAGCTGACACGTCGTGATATAACTGGAATACTGTTGAAAGCGGCGTTAACCCAACTCACTCACTCACTCACTCACTCACTGATGAACGACTCACAGATGAAGGTTTGGAAACTTTTTTTCCCTCCAGATTGCGGGGGTGTCATGAACACCATCCCAAGGTGCCACAACGCCGTCCTCTACGAGAGCTTCTACAGCAACCGCTGGTCCCAGTTCTGTCAGTGAGTAAAGGAGTTCACAAATCCGAATTTACAGTGAAACCAGTCTATTCGAAGTCTTCTTTCCCATTGATAATACATCGAGATGCACATAGTTCGACATAAGCAGAGTGCCGAAAATAGACCAAAGAGGCCATACTGATTGTGTCTGGAATATAAAGTCCACTGTAACAGTCCACGGTATATATATTGAGTCATTGAGTTCGGTTTAACGAGGTTTCATTGCATAGCATATACACTGAGGAGCAAAGGAAACTATACCTCAGTTGATTTTATCATGTTTCATTTTCAACTGAAAATATCTTAAATTAGCGATATTATATACAAAAAATGAACTGTATTGGCGCTTAATCAGCACTCTAAGAATACTTCAAAATGGTTTTATTTAAAAAAAATCTAATTGTGATTTAAAACTGTATTATACTCATCTGCTGTTTGGTATTTTAGACACCCTATCTTGGAAAATCAAATGCAACATGATCGGGTAAATGCTTGTAAATTCATTGCTAACCCCTGTCTTAATTTAACCAATTTATTTTTGCACAAAATTACCCAGCCACATATTACTTTTATTACAAACTGTTGCAGGAATGAGTGATTGGTAATTATGCGTAATCAAATTTAACAACAGTTCTTTCATATATCAATTACATAAAAAAAATCGATATACTTCCCATTGCCCCCAGTTTATGGTTTGGTTGTTTCTTGACAATGTTTTCAGCAAGGCCAATTAAAGATAGAAAGTTTTTATTCTATATTATACAAAAGAAATACCCAAATCTACTGTACTACGTGACATCTTTAAACCACGCCATGTGGCCCGAAATGCAAAAAATCGGAATCCGACGCAAAAACGAAATATTGAGGGGAAAAAGTTATTACTTATCTGCACTTAAAAAAAACATCACCATATATTAGGTGGGGGGGAAATATTTGGGCGGGAGGGTCACGAGATATGTTGTTTTTATTCTAACAAACATAATGTGGGAGTCATTGTTACACAGCGGTTACAACTGGCACACACTTATTTTAAAAGATCCGGGGTAGAATAGGTCTTCAGCAACCCATGCTTGCCGTAAAAGGCGACTATGCTTGTCGTAAAAGGCGACTAACGGGATCGGGTGGTCAGTCTCGCTGACTTGGTTGATGCATGTCATCGATCCCAATTGCATGGATCGATGCTCATGATATTAATCACTGGATTGTCTGGTCCAGACGCGATTATTTACAGACCGCTGTCATATAGCTGGAATATTGCTGAGTGCGGCGTTAAACAGCAAACAAACACTACGGAACTAACCTCTTCTAACCACGCCCCTGTGGCCCAAAATGCGGAATATTGTTCTGTCATGGTATTCTTGGAAAATTGTTAAGACCAGTGACCATGAACCGATATGGGGTTACTTCTCATACGCTTTATACACACTGTACATTGTCTGCTCTTGTCATCCATGCTGGAGACAGGGAAATAATTTATGTCATTTAATACTTCTAGGTCACATACCAATGCCACAACCTGTGTGACAAATTTAAATTGTCCGCTGGGAACTGCCATGTTTAGCAAGTTGCTGAAATCAGAAGTGGAGGACTTTGTTGCTAATGTTTGCGTTAATGGTAAGTTAATTGATAGAACGGGCTTGGTAGTTAAAGAGGTGTGGTAAATATTACTGTAGTGTATGAAACACCTTTACATCCGGATATAGGACTGTTAGTAATAGGCAAATATTTGCACCAGTGCACGAAACACCTTTACATCCGGATATAGGACTGTTAGTAATAGGCAAATATTTGCACCAGTGCACGAAACACCTTTACATCCCGGATATAGGACTGTTAGTAATAGGCAAATATTGGCACCAGTGCACGAAACACCTTTACATCCGGATATAGGACTGTTAGTAATAGGCAAATATTTGCACCAGTGCACGAAAAACTTACATCCGGATATAGGACTGTTAGTAATAGGCAAATATTGGCACCAGTGGTGAGATGAGGTGAGGTGAATGGGGTTTAATGTCTGTTCAAAGTTATTGCGCTTATATGTGCGTGCATGTGTGTGTGTGCTCTCTCCATTAGACCACGGAGGCGGTCTGTTCCGACAGTGGTCGAATGTTGGCACCAATGGTATCATCCCTACAGTTGTTGGATATGTGAGGTATGCGACGTTAGCCTTTAGAATCCACAAGTGAGTGAGTGGAACAGTATTCCAGTTATACCACAACAGCTTGATGTCGGGGGAAAGCTCAGCGCGATGCAGGTCTTAGACATTTACCAGTTTGATGAAACAACTTTGGTCGAACAGGGATTCTAACCCATAACCATAGGGTTCTGGCTCTTCTAAGGGACAGAACTCTGCACAGCGAATTGCGCACTTTAGACGACTGGGTCACCCGTGCCCCCAGAATTCAGAAGGGGTTGTAAAACAGTTGTAGGGTTGGAAAGATAGATGAAATCTGTTGGCAGTAACTAAAAATGACTCAGGCAATTGCTTTTATTTCAGAATGCAGCAACCTTGAGGAGACTTTGTTCTCCGTGGAGAGATGCGTTCCTTTCTTGACTAAAACAGTAACCTCGGCCAATGACTGCAGGTGAGTGTGTCCAAAACACTGAAACCATGGAAACTGATAGCATGTGCGCGTGCGTGCCTATATCCGTGTATGCGTGCGCATGTCCGTGTATGCGTGTGCGCATGCTGTTTTGCGCAAAAATCAGCAATCCAAATTTATCCGGCGGTGACTAAATCTAGGCCAAGCATGATGATTGTTGACACCAGGGGTCGAGGTACGATCAGCCATGCCATGCATTGCAGCCAAACCTCAGTTCAGTTCAAAAGGTTTTGTCGGATCGTAAACCAACAGACCTGTTAACCTCCCACCCCAAAACCTCAGGCATTTAGATTTATATTTAGAGTCGTCCCACATATCCGGATTTGTTCCCTTACTAAAGTACAGACCTGTGAAGATCTGGGGTGGAATAGGTCTTCACCAACCCATGCTTGCCGTACATAGTGACGATGCTTGTCGTAAGAGGCGACTAACAGGGTCGGGTGGTCAGGCTCGCTGACTTGGTTGATGCATGTCATCGTATCCCAATTCCGTGGATCGATGCTTATGATGTCAATCACTGGATTGTCTGGTCCAGACTCAATTAGGTACAGACCGCCGTCATATATATCTGGAATATTGCTGAGTGCGGCGTTAAGCAACAAACAACAAACAAACTAACAAACAAACTTAAGTACATACGTTCTCGTTTCAGTAATTATCATGACTTCACGAGCTGCATGCTGAGGGCTACAGTCCGCCCCTGCAAAGAAGTAGACGACATTCTGAACTTCCTGTCACCAAACTTCACATCACGAAAAGACAGATGCACAACAACTCCAAGTAGGTCTTTTCCTCCCACGATTAAAACAAGAAAGTTTTTGAAACAACTATCACATGCTGATGCATATAATATCCATTCTTTCCCAACATTAATGTTTGAGTGGTTTGAGTAGGAGATCCGGTGTCCATACCGGACAGGATTCAACAGGTTGGCTCGGAGTTAGTATGTCGCAAAGTGCGGTAGACCTGCGTGGTATCGCAAGGGGCTCGCACTATAAAACTAGCAAAATACCCTTAAGTGGTTTCAAGTAAGACAATGCATTTTCCTTTGCCATTTGTTAAAAGTTGACAGTCGTTTAAGCGACGTAAAATCAACCATTCTGCTCCTTGTTACATACAAGGGAAAACATTAAGGAACCGGAATTAACTCTTCTGAGTTACTTCCCTTATCCGCGTAAGGATCCACTGAAGTTCCAGATTTTCCCTGATTATGACTCTTTGTTTGTCGGCATCTCTCTTTGGGCTTTGAGCGTTGCCCAATTGGGGTAATAATCGGAGGCTCCGATCTGCCCACTCTTGACCTCCTCCCACGCCGCCTAATAACTGACATACTTATCGAAGCGGCCTTAAACCGGCGTTAAACTCACTCACTCAGGAATAGGACAGTTAACTTTGTCAATTTGTCTCGAATATCCGTAAACAGCTCTTTTTTATAGCAACAACAACTACCACTACTACTACAACAACAACCCCAACCACAACCAGTACTTCTACTACAACAACAACCCCAACCACAACCAGTACTTCTACGACGACCATAACCACTACACCGTCCACTACCACGACTGAACTGACTACAACTATTCAATCCACGCAAGAAACGGTCCCAACTAGTACAACATCAACAAGAACAAGAACAACAACGACCACAACAACAACAACGACCACGACGACCTCACCCGACACAACAATGAAAACAACCATAGACGTTCCTGATACTTCGGCCTGTGTAACTCTAAATCTCATGAAAGCTATTAATGCTTCTTCACAAAAACACAACTTAACATCGCCTGAAGATAATACCAGCCTGTGTGTGTAAGTGCCCAATGCATGATCAATACACCCCTTTAACAGCAGGAGAAGGGGAAATAAAATGAATCTTTCCCCAGGACGTGAGGTAGCCTTCTGGTTTAAGTGTTCGCTCGTCAGTCCGAACGCCCGGGTTCGATTCCCCATTTATGGTGACCCCGCCATTTTATTGCTCGACTATTGCTAAATGTAAAACTATAATCAATCAGTTTACTAAAACTGTAAAAGGATATTGCACGACTGCCAGTAAGTCACGGTTCGATATAACTTCCATTTATTGTGACGTCATGTTAAAATGGAGATCCCGGGATACAATAGATCCCAGTACTATGCTTGACGTAGTAGGCGTTATAACGAGGATTGGGTGGTTACAGCGTGACCTTGGTGTTATCGTGTCATCGGACCCAGATGGCGTAGGTCGTTCAACTGTTACTGGTTTGCCTGGCCCGACTTCAGTATTTACAGACGGACGTAAGATGTAGGACTGTCGGAAAATAAGACTCACTCACTCACTTTAGTCATGGGTGTATTGTATCAATTTTATGTTCACTTTTCCGAAAGACAGAAATGATTTTCGAAAACCAAACATCGGCAAGTAATGAAATAACGTTTGATCCCATACAGATGTCCCTAGCGCTCTATTGCACACTGCAGTTTTCTACCGCCGGGATTTGGGTCAGAATAGGTCCCCAGAAACCCCCACTGGTTGAAACTACTGGTTGATGGCGTACCATTGTACCTTGAGGTCGTTACTCATAATATCAACCACCAGTTTGCCTGGCCCATAATAAATAGTATTTATAGGTTGTCGAGTAGGGCTGGAATGATGCTAGCTGGGGTGTTAAACAACAAACAAACAAACGGGCAACCGTGATATGGTAAGAATATTGTTGACTGTGGCGTCAATTAACATTCACTCACTCCCCAGTTCAATGTTTGTCCAAACGTTTGTACCCAGGGAGCTTGTCGGCCTGGCCTTCTGCCTCACCTCCAGGTGCCCCACCCTCGTGGAACTGTCCCGCTGTCTGCTGTCCCTACCCCCCAGCGTCAAGCGCTACGTGGACCGGACCTTTCCCCACTGCCGGCCACACATACAGAAGGTGCACGAGGAGATGGTGGATTACAGAGCGCTGTCCAGCAACACCCAGAGACGATACTTTAACATTACCTGTACACGAGGTGGGTAGGGGCGTCAGGTGTACGGCGGAATTACTCCCCTGGCTGCATGAACCACCCAGTTAATGTACCCATTTGGACATTGCATGTTCCACCCGTTTATCAGAAAGGATATCAACTTACATGGACGGTGCATGCTCCACCCGTTTATCAGAAAGGATATCAACTTACATGGACAGTGCCTGCTTCATCCGTTTATCAGAAAGGATATCAACTTACATGGACAGTGCCTGCTTCATCCGTTTATCAGAAAGGATATCAACTTACATGGACAGTGCCTGCTTCATCCGTTTATCAGAAAGGATATCAAGTTACATGGACAGTGCATGCTCCCCCCCGTTTATCAGAAAGGATATCAACTTACATGGACAGTGCCTGCTTCATTCGTTTATCAGAAAGGATATCAACTTACATGGACAGTGCCTGCTTCATCCGTTTATCAGAAAGGATATCAACTTACTTGGACAGTGCCTGCTTCATCCGTTTATCAGAAAGGATATCAACTTACTTGGACAGTGCATGCTCAATCCGTTTATCAGAAAGGATATCAACACACTTAGACAGAAGACATGCTCCACCCGTTTATCAGAAGGATATCAACTTACATTGACAGTGCATGCTCCACCCGTTTATCAGAAAGGATATCAACTTACATGGACAGTGCATGCTCCACCCGTTTATCAGAAAGGAAATCAACTTGCTTGGACGGTGCATGCTCCATCCGTTTATCAGAAAGGATATCAACTTACATGGACAGTGCATGCTCATCCCGTTTATCAGAAAGGATATCAACTTACTTGGACAGTGCATGCTCCATCCGTTTATCAGAAAGGATATCAACACACTTAGACAGAAGACATGCTCCACCCGTTTATCAGAAGGATATCAACTTACATGGACACTGCATGCTCCACCCGTTTATCAGAAAGGATATCAACTTACATGGACAGTGCATGCTCCACCCGTTTATCAGAAAGGATATCAACTTGCTTGGACGGTGCATGCTCCATCCGTTTATCAGAAAGGATATCAACTTACATGGACAGTGCATGCTCATCCCGTTTATCAGAAAGGATATCAACTTACATGGACAGTGCATGCTCATCCCGTTTATCAGAAAGGATATCAACACACTTAGACAGAAGACATGCCCCACCCGTTTATCAGAAGGACATCAACTTACTTGGACGGTGCATGCTCCACCCGTTTATCAGAAAGGATATCAACTTACATGGACAGTGCATGCTCGAACCGTTTATCAGAAGGATATCAACTTACATGGACAGTGCATGCTCCATCCGTTTATCAGAAAGGATATCAACTTACATGGACAGTGCCTGCTTCATCCGTTTATCAGAAAGGATATCAACTTACATGGACAGTGCCTACTTCATCCGTTTATCAGAAAGGATATCAACTTACTTGGACAGTGCATGCTCCATCCGTTTATCAGAAAGGATATCAACACACTTAGACAGAAGACATGCTCCACCCATTTATCAGAAGGATATCAACTTACATGGACAGTGCATGCTCCATCCGTTTATCAGAAAGGATATCAACTTACATGGACAGTGCATGCTCCACCCGTTTATCAGAAAGGATATCAACTTGCTTGGACGGTGCATGTACCATCCGTTTATCAGAAAGGATATCAACTTACATGGACAGCGCATGCTCATCCCGTTTATCAGAAAGGATATCAACACACTTAGACAGAAGACATGCCCCACCCGTTTATCAGAAGGACATCAACTTACTTGGACGGTGCATGCTCCACCCGTTTATCAGAAAGGATATCAACTTACATGGACAGTGCATGCTCGAACCGTTTATCAGAAGGATATCAACTTACATGGACAGTGCATGCTCCATCCGTTTATCAGGAAGGACATCAACTTACTTGGACGGTGCATGCTCCATCCGTTTATCAGAAAGGATATCAACTTACATGGACAGTGCATGCTTCATCCGTTTATCAGAAGGATATCAACTTACTTGGACAGTGCATGCTCCATCCGTTTATCAGAAAGGATATCAACACACTTAGACAGAAGACATGCTCCACCCGTTTATCAGAAGGATATCAACTTACATGGACAGTGCATGCTCCACCCGTTTATCAGAAAGGATATCAACTTACATGGACAGTGCATGCTCCACCCGTTTATCAGAAAGGATATCAACTTGCTTGGACGGTGCATGTACCATCCGTTTATCAGAAAGGATATCAACTTACATGGACAGCGCATGCTCATCCCGTTTATCAGAAAGGATATCAACACACTTAGACAGAAGACATGCCCCACCCGTTTATCAGAAGGACATCAACTTACTTGGACGGTGCATGCTCCACCCGTTTATCAGAAAGGATATCAACTTACATGGACAGTGCATGCTCCATCCGTTTATCAGAAGGATATCAACTTACATGGACAGTGCATGCTCCATCCGTTTATCAGAAGGACATCAACTTACTTGGACGGTGCATGCTCCATCCGTTTATCAGAAAGGATATCAACTTACATGGACAGTGCATGCTTCATCCGTTTATCAGAAGGATATCAACTTACATGGACAGTGCATGCTCCATCCGTTTATCAGAAGGACATCAACTTACATGGACGGTGCAGGCTCCACCCGTTTATCAGAAAGGATATCAACTTACATGGACAGTGCATGCTCCATCCGTTTATCAGAAGGACATCAACTTAAATGGACGGTGCAGGCTCCACCCGTTTATCAGAAAGGATATCAACTTACATGGACGGTGCATGCTCCACCCGTTTATCAGAAAGGATACCAACTTACATGGACGGTGCATGCTCCACCCTTTTATCAGAAAGGATACCAACTTACATGGACGGTGCATGCTCCACCCTTTTATCAGAAAGGATACCAACACACTTAGACAGAATGCATGCCCCACCCGTTAAAATGCCATAATTAGACCGGATGCATGTCTCTAACGAAGATTAGGACCACAGCATTCGTGTTTGCCGTTAAGTCGACGAATGGCCATCAGATTGCTGTGCCCAGGTCGATTGTGTGTCGATGTGCATGAATCGTTGCTCATACTATCAACCACCGGCATGCCTTGCCTTATCTGTTATGTACATATAGATGAAACTGTGCTTGTTGCGGTGTAAAACAATATTAACTCTCTCACTCATCATAAATTGTTACTTCACGCCCTCTTTTCTTTTTACCAGCATCCGGGGCATCAACTCTGCAGACGACAGCTTCTCTGCTCCTCGTAACGCTGATGACGTCATTCCAGATAATGGGTAGGCTGTAGGACTTGGATCTTGGAAACCATGGATACTCAGGGAACGCCTCCTCTGCAGTAATCAGCCGCCATTTCTGGTCAACAGCCTCCATTCACATCATGGATGATTCAAAAGACTCTGAAACCTTTTTATTAAATATAATTTTATTTGGATCAATATGATTATTTTAAAATGATCCATTGTAGTTTTCACTTATATACTGATGGAAGGAAATAAGAGGAGGCAGGCAGTTGCATCCTGGCACGAGTACGGACGCAACTCTGCAAAGCGAATCGCAGAGTTGCGTCCCTTATTAATATCTGCCTATTTCACCATGCAGTCAGGCAGATATGGAGGGTTCTGTAGTTTTCAGTTATTTGTCAACTATATATTCAGAGAAAGGCCTATCGTACAACCAATAGGGTGCTTCAAGAATAGTCAGACATAGCCATTTTTCTTCATTTTATAAGGTTTCGACCGACCATTTGATGGGTTTTTTTTATGGTGGAGGTGGGTATCTTGGATTAGTTTTAACAAAATAATTCAAAAGTTGTCATACAGACCCTGATACAAATATATTAAGTGCAGCCCTTGCAAGTCTATAATAGTGGGCCAGTCTAGATTACTGCAGTTTCTGAACATGAAGAGAGTCTTAGGACTCCTTTTTTATTATATTTTATTAAGATAATTTAGCAACTATTTTTCTGTAAAATATGTTCATTTCAGAGACTAGATGTTATCCTACTGACAGATGGTGAACGCTGCAGTTTGGGGCATGGGTTTATGAGGGCCCCTGGGCGATCCTGAGGCCCGTCTCAAAGATCATTGACCAGTTTATTAACGAGGGAACGCTCTTTTCATGTAAGATTTGCAACAGGTCCTTTTTGTATCCAATGGGCTTGTGGAGGTCGAAATAACAAAATATGTCAAGCAATATTTTTAAAGATGAACAAAGGACAGAACTCTGAACAGCGACTTGCAGTCCAGGGCCACCCGTGCTCTCAGCTAAGCCCTCTGAAAGTTACAAATACACCACTTAGTCTCAGTACCTTGCTATATACTGGGACCTGTGTAAAGACATGTTTGTAACAAATGTAATATTTGGGATAACACTTCATTAGTAAAGTACGCATTCTAGTACCTTTTGGGGTTGAGGCCCTTCAGGAATTCGAACCCACACTCTCAGAGTGAGGCACCAAATCGCCTAGAGTCTAGATCACGTACTTTGTGTACCCCTCTGATAAGTGTAAACTTGCTAGAATTTAAATTTACTAAAGAAGTGTATCCCAAATTAAACATTTGTTACATTTGACCACGTTCTAAATGACATTGTGTGTTCATATTTGTCACTTGTACATATGTTATTCATTCGTGACCAACTCGTGTTATTCCGGGACAAGCCATTCTTGCAGGTTACGGAAAGGGGCGAGTTGTGACGAATGATATGTTATTCAGGTACATCATGTGAGATATACGTTTGTTAATTTTGCCAAGCTTTTGTCAAGAAGGGACACTGTTCGATAACCATGAGGTGAGGTGAAATTGGGTTTAACGTCGCGTCCAAGATTATTGCACTTATATAGCGACGTGTGTGTGGCTGCTTGTACTAGTCCGGACTGTTGCCGATTTATAGTGCTAGCCAACTGAGATACCTTGCCGCAGTTTAACATGAATACCCCACTCAGACACAGTATACTGACTCCGAGCCGACCAGTGCTTTTTTTAGCCCCTTAATGCCGAGCGCCAGACAGGGTAACAACAAGTACCATCTTTTAACGTGTTTTGGCAAGACGCGGCCGGGGATCGAACCTCGGACATTCCGCTCTCCGGGCGCACGCTCTACCACTAGACCACGGAGGCGGTCCTCGATAACCATGAAGATATACATCTTGTGATATACGAACAACATATCACTATATGTCCCCAGGTTGGTGATGGCAGTGCATCATCGATAATCCAGGGTGTTTTATCTCTGTATCTCTGTCGCATTATCATATGTAGCCTGAACCCATTCAGCACTGGAGCTTCGTATCGGAAGTAACGTCACATCTTCATCTCTCGCTCTTGAGTGTAATTTGGTTGTCATTCGAGTCGGGCCAATACGAAGCTATCATGGTAACGGATGGTCCGGGGTATTTATCAGGATTGAATTCAGATATAAAACTCTAGATAATCGAGGGTTATGGCAGTGTCCACAACTCCGGGGCCCTCTTGCACAAACCGATCTTAGCGCCACGACTATTGTAAGCCTATGTTAAAGTATGGGAGTTACGATCATCTTAGCGCTAAGATCGCTTTGTGCAAGTGGGCCCTGAACTGTGTAAGTTTGAGGAAGGATTATTCTGTGGCGATTTTAGCTTCATGACGAAATATCCAATCTGCATATATGTCTGCCTATATGTTTTGTACTTTCGGATAGAGAAATATTTCAGGCGCAATTCGCCTCCGCAATTCAAAGCTCCACACAGCGATGTCTAAGACGGCAAACCAGATTGGAAATCCAATCTTTCAGTTTTAGAAATTAATACAATATTACGAGGAGTAATAGTTGGTTATTTCATTTATCTCAGTACCCTAAATGTCTGCGTTGTATTATTGTTGTATTATTCGTTTTGGTTATTATTTTTTATCTTAAAGTCAGTTTTGTACGTTTTGATATACTGTTCATATATCTATATATTCATGAGAGTAGGTGGATTAATGTCTCTAGCAAAAGTCGATGTCGTATCGTCGCTTTTTATTCACATTCAGAAGCAAGTTGTGATTAACTAAGCCATATGACAGTTCTGAATTGACTTATGTCAAATACGAAACTGTTATGCTTATTGTTAACACGCACTTTTAAAACATTTTAAATGTAAATAATTGTAGATATATGTTTTCCGATTTTATTTCTTATGTTTCGGAGCTTAATTATTTTTCCAAGTATACACAGGTGCACAATTATTTATTTTTCAATTAAATAATTATAACGAACTGTGCTCTTTGGACACTTGTCTGCAGGGGCGGTCGGGTAGCCTAGTGGTAAAAGCGTTCGCTCGTCACGCCGAAGACCCGGGTTCGATTCCCGACATGGGTACAATGTTTGAAGCCCATTTAAGGTGTCCCCCACCGTGATATCGCTGGAATATTGCTAAAAGCGGCGTTAAACCATACTCATTCACTCACTCACTTGTCTGCAAAAAAGGGGCCACTATTCTGTTTCCCGAAAGAGGGCTCTGTGTAGGTTGCCTGGTTATTTGAAATAAGCTTCTGTCCAATCTCATTAAAATCAGATCTAGCGATAACTAAGATCTGATTTTAATGAGATTGACTTCTGTCTTTTTGAGACTTTTTTTCATCGCCTTAAAAAGGCAGTCCCCGTGAAACGGGTTACGTCAATAGGAACGGTGTCGGGTTTCGAAAACAACTGTTATTCTTTAAATTACATCTTTGCGATATATACAGTGATATTTATTTAGCATCTAATAATCACATACGGTATGTAACATCATTTGGATTGTAGGTGTTGTCTCCGCAAATTGTTGTAACATGCCCATGACGGTAAATACGGTAAATTAAGTAACACTATCATAACAATTCTACAATAACGAAAGAGCCGTTTTTAAAAGGTATACTGTATTAAGCCGTTTTTAAAAGGTATACTGTATTAAGCCGTTTTTAAAAGGTATATTGTATTAAGCCGTTTTTAAAAGGTATATTGTATTAAGCCGTTTTTAAAAGGTATACTGTATTAAGCCGTTTTTAAAAGATATACTGTATTAAGCCGTTTTTAAAAGGTATACTGTATTAAGCCGTTTTTAAAAGGTATACTGTATTAAGCCGTTTTTAAAAGGTATACTGTATTAAGCCGTTTTTAAAAGGTATACTGTATTAAGCCGTTTTAAAAAGGTATACTGTATTACTTTGCAAATGAAACATACGTGCTTTTTGTTTCAAAGATATTTACTCCTATTGAAATATAGAAACCTAATTATACTATTCCCCTTTTGCTAGGGATTTTTATTATCTTTGCATGAGACACAAAACTTATTCACATAATATGTCAAGTGTGACTTTAAGTAGAATGGTATACATATTTATCCCTGTCAAAAGTTGAGTAGTATAGATTAGTTATTGACATGCCTGTTCTTTTAAATAACTTCCATTGTTTCTGGGGCTTGGGGTAGCCTAGTAGTTAAAGCGTTCGCTCGACACGCCGAGAGGGGCGGTCGGGTAGCCTAGTGGTTAAAGCGTTCGCTCGTCACGCCGAAGACCCGGGTTCGATTCCCGACATGGGTACAATGTGTGAAGCCCATTTCTGGTGTCCCCCGTCGTGATATTGCTGGAATATTGCTAAAAGCGGCGTAACACAATACTCACTCACGCCCTTATTTGCAGGAATATGGCTGAAAGAGGCGTAACACAATACTAACTCTCTCCATTGCTTTTCCGTATCATGTGACTCAATAGATGGGGCCTTCTGTTCTTGAAGCAACTTTTCAGCTGGTATCGGTTGTACCTTAGTCATTTATCATCAGTGTCATATATACGTAAATTGAAGCAAAGTATACACTTGAAAATTTGATTTGACCAAAACAAGTACAAACGTTATCAAAACGATATTAGGATGGAAACAGTCGCCGTAACACTGCAAACTTAAATTCCAAAAACGCAACTATGATACCTGTATCAAATTCTTCACCGTCGAATAACCTTTCTTGCTTGTGTCTTTTATAGCCACCATCAAACATGGGTGTACACTTTCTTTTGCCCCGGTAGTTTTGCCCCCGAATATGTTTTCGTACTGTTCACAATTTGTGTTTTGAGGCTCACCCTATCCTTTATTTTTGTAATAAAACAAGCTTCACATCTAGTGTTTTTGTGTTGGTCACGCATCAGGAATCATCGTCATTTTGGGAACCGATAGTCACAATAACATTGGACTATGAATTTCAGCTGATTAGCAACTGGGCAAATCTGTGTTCAGGACGCTGGTTTGACATATTAATATTTTGCCTCATTCTTGCTGCAATGTTGATAGTAGTGGGTTCGAACCCGAGATTCGCCCCGACTATGCTCAATTTGTTTTCGTGCCACATAAACTTGACAATCCATCGTATGATCGAAATAATGGTCACTCACTCATCCGACCCGTGAAGATCCGGTGTAAAATAGGTCTTCAGCAACCCATGCCTGCAGTAAAAGGCGACTATGCTTGTCGTAAGAGGTGACGAACGGGATCGGGTGGTCAGGCTCGCTGACTTGGTTGATGCATGTCATTGTAGCCCAATTGCATGGATCGATGCTCATGATGTCAATCACTTGGTTGTCTAGTCCGCTGAGTGCGGCGTAAAACAAACAAACAAACAAACAAACAGAGGCTGATATTCAGCACATCTGTACCTTGGGTCTAGCCTATTGGGTGGGATCGTTTAAACATCGTGATATATCGCGGCCAACATCACGAAAGGGGGCAGGTTGCATTAGAGGCGACGAACGGGATCGGGTGGTCAGGCTCGCAGACTTGGTGGATGCATGTCATCGTATCCCAACGGGTAGATCAATGCTAATGATATCATTGATATGGTCCAGACTCCATTATTTACAGACCGCCGTCATATAGCTGGAACACTGCTGAGTGCGACGTTAAACAAACAAACAAACACTCATCCGACCGACGTAGATTGACAAGTGAGTGAATGTTTTTACGCCGCAGTCATCAATATTTCACCAATCTGGACCAGGCAAACCAGTGATTGAGAGCATGAGAGAAGATCAACGACGTTACAGATAGCACAATGAACCAGGACCCTCATCCACAAAGCGGCTTTACAGCTACGGTCTATGGTGATTGTACTAGTCCGGACTAATGCCGGTTTAATGTCTAGTCCACTGAAATACCATGCCGCAGATACATGAATACCCCACTCAGACACAATATACTGACTCCGATACGACAGTTCTTGTTTTATCCCCTAATGCCGAGCGCCAGGCAGAGTAACAACAAGTACCATCGTTTACTGTCTTTTGGTATGATTCGGCCTGGGTTCGAACCATCGACATTTCACTCTACTGACAGACGCTCTATCCACTATACCACGGAGGCTGTCTTAGAGGCAAGTTTTCGGACACCATGAACTCGCAAAGTGAGTGAGTGAGTTCCAAATGTCGACCAAAGATTGTCCCAACCGAGCTAACGTTACCGGCTGGTTCTGGTCCTGTCGTAGGCGTCCTCCTTCACATCCCAGAGGTCTGGAGAAACAACCGGCCATGGCAGTACAGCATTGTTACACTGTCGCAAAAAGACTGTTACAATACGTGCAACATGTGGGCGGGCATTATCTTACTCTAGCGCCACGTTACGTTCCTACATTTCAAAAAAGGGTAGAACATGATCTCAAACGATGTCGTCCCGGTAGCGTAAGCCATTCTGTATTCACCAACGGATTTGTGATGCCACCCCATAGCATAACACTTCCATCCCCAAACTGACGACGTTGAGTAACACAAGCGTCGCAAAAAACGTTCCCCTGGACGCCTGTAGACTCGTGTACGACCATCAGTAATGTCCAAATGAAACTTGGACACATCTGTGAACAGTATTTATCATCCAAAACTGGCTCCCACAGGAGATATCGCTTGGATAAGATCAAGCGATATCTACACTTTAGACTTACGGGATCGGGTGGTCATTCTCGCTGACTTTGTTGATTATGTCATCGTATCCCAATTGCGTAGATGGATGCTCAAGATGTCAGACACTGGATTGTGTGGTCCAGACTTGATTGTTTACAGACCGCCGTCATTGCTGTGTGTGGCGTCAATATTGCTGATTGCGGCGTTAAACAGCAAATAAACAAACAAACACATGTTTTCAAATGTAAGATAAGAATGTTGCATGTGTTCATATTCATAAAATCACCACATTATTCGAAAACTCCGAATTTACGTTGATATCGCCTAACTCGTCTTGGAGTGAGTGAGTATGGTTTTACGCCGCTTTTAGCAATATTCCAGCAATATCACGGCGGGGGACACCAGAAATGGGCTTCACACATTGTACCCATGTCGGGAATCGAACCCGGGTCTTCGGCGTGACGAGCGAACGCTTTAACCACTAGGCTACCCGACCGCCCCTCGTCTTGGAAAGTTCTCAACTTTTGGTAGGGATAATCAGATATGTCATTTTATTATATATACACTTGACATATTGTGAGAAGGTACAATACACACATCCTTATCAATGGTGGAGTAGTTTAGTATAACACGTCGTGTCAGTATTTGCTTTGTTGGTCCTGGAGTTCACTGTGGAATGGGTTGGCTTGGTCGTTGTCATAATCGCTTTTTACCACACCTGTGAAAAAAGGACATCAACAGTTTGATCCCTGACATTGTTTGGTGAGGTGATGTTTTACAATTTTCTTTCTGAAAAGGCCAACCGGAATCACATTTGTTTTAACCACTATGCTCGCTATGGAATTGTGGTATGGAATGTGACATTGAACAGGTATGACATGTGACATTGAACAGGTATGGAATGTGACATTGAACAGGTAAAGAATGTGACATTGAACAGGTAGTGAATGTGACATTTAACAAGTATGGAATGTGACATTGAACAGGTATGGAATGTGACATTTAACAGGTATGGAATTTGACACTGAACAGGCATGAAATGTGACACTGAACAGGTATGAAATGTGATCATGAACATGTATGAAATGTGATCATGAACATGTATGAAATGTGACAATGAACAGGTATGAAATGTGACATTGAACAGGTATGAAATGTGATAATGTACAAATACAAATGTGACAAAGAACAGATCTAAATGTTGATTACATAGCTTAATCTTTGTACATGTGTCTGTGAGATCCTCAGTTTGACGACTTGTTTCCTGGTATTGTGCACCAACTATCATGAACACAAAGTGAGGGAGTGAATGCTATGTCACGCCACAGTCAGCCATATCACGTGTTCTGTTTGTAAATAACGGACTCTTGTCCAGGTAATAAAGTGTTTGAACGCATGAGCGACGTCCCATGCCGTCGGGGTACGATGTCATACAATCAGCCAGGCCATACACTGTGACCACCCGATCCCCATAGGTCGACTCTGCGACAGTCCTTGGTCCTGGAGGCCAAATCTGGCCCGGTGTTACCCAAGACATTCTCACCGCATCAAGACATCATAACGGCTTGCCGCGCCGCAATTCGCTGTGCAGAGTTGCGTCCCTTGGGCACGCCAGAAACCTATGATTATAGGTTCGAATCCCGGTTCGTGTTCTAGGTTCGCGAGCGTGTGTGTGTGTGTGTGTGTGTGTGTGTGTGTGTGTGTGTGTCCTGCATCACTTCGGGGCTTTCCTCCCACATGAAGCTGACACTCCGTGATATAACTGGAAACTGTTTAAAGCGGAGTTAAACCCAAAGCGCTCACTCACACACTCACCATCATAACCTTCATCCGCCTTTGTGGGATCAGATTTGTGTGACGCGTGACCTCTACACACAGACAGCGGAGCACAACACACAAAGTACAAGACGATGGTGACGATGATAGTTGCAACTATAACACTCCCCACCAAGGCGCACACGACGATCCACCTGGGCTGAACTGTAGTCGGCATGATTTCTGTCGCCATGGTAACATTTGCCCTGTGAACGAGAGAGTGATACAGTTCAATGTTCTGTAAATGGAGTGAGTGAGTGAGTGTGGTTTTACGCCACGTTTAGCAATATTCCAGCAATATTACGGCGGGGGACAACAGAAATGGGCTTCATACATTATATAACCCATTTTGGGAATCGAACCCAGGTTTTCGGCATGACGAGCGAACGCTTTAACCACTAGGCTACCCGACCTCCCTTTTGTGAATGGATCCAATGGAAGCTATAAATCCCGGAAACAAGACTCACGGAACGATGATAGGATAGCTAACCGATCAAGTGAGTGAGTGAGTATGGTTTCACGCAATCTCATTAAAATCAGACCTTAGTTCTCGCTACCGCTAAACACAGATCTGAAGACATCCCATTAGGGGTCACGTCAGAATGACCTTTCATCCGACCAATCAGCGCGTCGCTTACCAAATCATGAAAGTGACAGTCGGAATGTGATTTCGAATCATACAACCTCGAAAGTTTTAACACGGGGTATTCCGAACGATAGTTACGTGTTTAACGAGTGAATCCATACAATCAAGACCATCTGTTCCAGAATGTTCTTTTGTTTAGGTTTCAAATTTGTAATCGAGAATTTGTTAAAATATGTTTCGAAGCATAGTCGCCAATTTGAATTAGCGCCGTAAAGCACGAGAAATCTGCCTTCTGATTGGTCATTCCACTGGACGGTCAAAGTTCGCGCAAGGTCGGTCTTACGTGACCCGCAATGGGATGTCCTGAGATCTTTGTTTAGCGGTAGCGAGAACTAACATCTGATTTTAATAAGATTGGGTTTCACGTCGCTTTTAGCAATATTCCAGCGATATCACGATGGGGGACAACAGAAAATGGGCTTCACACATTGTACCAATGTCGGGAATGGATCCCTGGTCTTCGGCGTGACGAGCGAACGCTTTAACCACTAGGCTACCCGACCGCCCCGCCAACCCATCAAAATGAGTCTTGCTCTTTCTGTTCCGCTTTAGGTGCATATAAACCACCATGATTGCTATCGTAGTGCAGTTGCCAAATAGTGCAGTTAAAGGTCCAGTTTCCACCCTTGCCGAACTAGGCTGGAATTCCTGGGCTCAATCGTAGTGCCACCAGTGGCTATTACGAGTTATGTCCCTTATATGCCTCTCCTATGGACCAATCAGATTCCACCTCTAAGTATCACTTGCATTTGCACCCAGTCAAGCGATCTGATCCATAATCAAGATCTATATTGTGATAAAACGGGTCTTACATCGCGAAGTGCATCAAATCACGTGATCGCCTTGATTAAAAACATGAAAAGATTTAGAAAATATCTGTTGACAACCCTTTGGCGGTGCAAATGCTTTGTAAATCCTGCAATCGGCCGAAATCTGTTTACGAACCGGATTTCGATTTCGGGGCGCGACTTTGATTGGATTATGCATACTAGACTCGTTAGTCCAGCCAAAATGTAACTCCATAATACCAGCGTAGTTCGGCAAGGGTGGAAACTGGACTTTTAAAGTCAGTTAACCCTCTTTACTCGGGAAGCTGTATGAAGGCAGTCTGTAAATAACCGAGTGTGGACCATGCAATCCACTGATTGATGTCATGAGCATCGATCCGCGCAATTGGGATACGATGACATGCATCGACCAAGTCAGCGAGCCTGACCACCCGATACCGTTAGTCGACTCATACGACAAGCAGAGTCGCCTTTTACGGCCAGCATGGGTTGCTGAAGACCTATTCTACCCAGGATCTTCACGGGGCAAGTGTGACGGAACTGTTGGTCATTATCCAAATTATCGAGAAAGTATGTATCAAACATAACATGGTTAGAGTCAGAGAAATCACTCGCATCTGTTGAATCTGGAATTATTTTTTTTAAGATTCGGTGATCCATCAATCGTTTATTGGAAGTTTCGATCAAAGGCAAACAATAGAATTTTATTAAAAGACAAAGGGGAATAGGTAGGACCATTTCAGTCATACAAATTTAATTGAGCATTCAAACACCACTTTGTTTGTTGACTGAATTATGTTTATCAATCTAGCAGTAATGTGTGCCTTAATGACATAGAGATTACACCTAAATACCATACGTGCTCTCATTACAATGTATAAACATACAGGCCGTGAAGTCCCCCTTTAATTTAGTTTCTCCAACTGATGTCAAGTAGCCTTCTTCCGTCCACTGATTTACCCACCTGATCTAGAAGTAAAAGAGGCCAGTGAAACTGCCTGATGTGCTTCCTATTTAGATCTATTTATTCAGGGTTACAACATTCAAGGCCTCATTGAGTGACAGTATTCCAGTTATATCGCGGCATGTCAGCTTAATGTGGGAGGAAAGCCCGAAGTGATGCAGGTCTTAGACGTTTACCACTTCGGTGAAACCCACGAGCATGGGTATGGTGCTGACAAACCTAGAAACATAATCGGGGCGAACCGGGATTCGAACCCACATTCATAGGTTTCTGGTGTGCCCAAGGGACGCAACTCTGCATAGCGAATCGCGGCGTCTTAGACGACTTGGCCACCCGTGCTCAGTAAAGCTTTCAAAACGTTTTACAGTAGACATGTCAAGGACATATCCAGATTTGACGCATCTGTGACCGAAATGATGTCCTATTAAATTCCTTAATTTTGATTTGTACCACATGTTCCTGTGGTTCTTTCGTCAAATGAAAAATGGCTTGCCTTTGCATGTGTTTATGACGGGTGCTTTTCGCGAATACCTGGTATCATTACTGTTTGATAATGATTCATAAACACTTATCATGTGGTAGTAATCGTAATGGACTCCACTGTTAGCAGAGAGTTTTTGAGATTATGGAAACGGTTTTGTGGCCTTTCTTCCCATGTTGTATTTAACACATCATCACCAATTAATATCTTCGACAGCCCGTTGAGTGATTAGACAGTAGGTCTCACATGGTTGTAGTGTTACAGCAATGGGTCGTGTAGTTGCTGCCGCAGCATCCGGTGTAGCACACGATGTATGAGATGCTGCTTGGGGAATCCTGCCTCGTACACACGGACATCTTGCTGTCTGAAACTGATGGCAAGATGCATGGCTAGGAGAGTTTTATTTGTTTGTTTGTTGTTTAATGTCGCTCCCAGCAATATTCCAGCTATAAGACGGCGGTCTAAAAATAATCGAGTCTGGACCAGTAATTGACATAACGAGCTTTGATCTATGATCTTTGATTGCAATACGATGACATCACCCAAGCTCCCGTTAGTCGCCTCTTGCGTGGTGTCCCCCGCCGTGATATTGCTGGAATATTGCTAAAAGCGGCGTAAAACCATACTCACTCACTCACTCGCCTCTTGCGACAAGCTTTGGTTGCTGAAGACTAATTCTAATACAGGTCTTAAGACTTTAACAGCGCTGTAGGAGGATTTTCTCGACCTGGCTGTGGTCACTCACTCACTCACACACTCACTCACACACTCACTATTAAGTAAACATTGCAGTGAGTGAGTGAGTTGGGTTTAACGCCGCTGTGAACAACATTGCAATTACACCTCAGGGTATCTTGATGATACCAGATCATCATGATTCTAGGTTTGTCAGCACTCTACCCGTGCTCGTGAGTTTCACCGAAGTGGTAACCGTGCAATGTATGTATGACGTCATCTTCCCACCCACACTGTACTGGGGGTGTCACTGTCCAAGGATGGTGCATTACTGATACTCGTCATATCAATTGATCTGGAAATATTTAAATAACGACGCAAGGGCCTGTGACCCTCGCTCCGAGTCCCAAACACCTTTCTCTCACTCTGAGTCTCAATGCTCACCCTGAATCCCGAATACAACTTAACACAAATCTCAAAAGCGTTGAGAAAAGGCTGCGATTTGAATATAAATTACTGAAAAAAATATCGAAAAAACTATAGTAAATAAAGGAAACCTTCACGTACAGCAGTAATATAATTCCAGTGAAACCATTTTCCTTATACAAAAATCTCATCACTCTAAACATGGTATCATGACAAACAGCTTCCACTTACTGTAAATATTAAATATTAAATATCAATAAGTATTTAACCGGTTTATCGTATACTTTAACGATACACGTGGTATCATAAAACAATATTCTGCTTCTGGTCGATGTTAAATTATTTCAAACCATCTTGAGGTCACAGTTATTATGTTTTTTTGTAAAATGTTAATAAAAGAACAACAAAATAAACTGATAAATTTCTAAAAATATTCTGAACTCTGAGACCCTTTTCCATTCACCCTAAACAAACTGCATGTCCATATCAGTATACCACCTGCGTTTATTACAATGAATACGGTATACAATAAGATTACAGTTATCTTCAAGACAGTACATAACCCAGTTGCGTGGAATCTGTCCTAAATAGGGTCAGATTGTCCACAATACTTGTACACTTCGACACCAACTTACCTTGAAAGAAAATGCATAACAAGGCTGCGAGTAACGGTATTTTCCACATGGTCGGGTAGTTTCACCTCTTCTCTGGGGGGTAGCTGTGCGCCTGTAGTCACATGATCAAGTTAACATGACCAGGTGTTGATATTGATGACGGTTGACCCGCATACCGCCTCCACCAGGCTATAGGGTAGGTCAGGTACGTCAAGTCTATGCAAAGTTTATTTATCGGCCTCTGGTCAGATACAGAAGTTAATACAGTAGACATCCACGGCCACAATGCGCGGCTCAACAATTCAATCCCATACGTGAGGTAACTGGAGAGGTTACCTTTGATTTGGGGTTTATGCGTGAGTGGGTTTGGGTTGGAGTCGAAATTAGTTCGCCGAAATTAGTTTGTTTGTTGTTTAACGCCACAATCTGCAATATTCTAGCCATATGACGGCGGTGTACACGATGTGCTTTTCAATTGGCATCTATCAGTATGTTTGTCACACAAGCGTTTCTGAATGTAACTGTCGGTAAGTGAATTTGGCGATCGGTTGATACACAATCGTTTTATATAACATGTGCAATATTGGCAACTGTTTAGCTAACAGTTATAATATACGCATTAATTTTATTTCAAAAGCGTCTTTATAGTTTGTGTTGCGTATTGATACGCTAGGATTATCTCGAGCTCTGTAAATGAAATACTGTTAAAAAAGGCGTTAAACCAAAAGTAATGTCAGCATCCAGGAAGGTCTGACACAAGTGCAGAAATGAATGTTCGTATCTACGGTGGCCCATAAGGGACATGGAGTCTGTTTTTAAATATTTTGATATTTCACTTACTTTTATCGTTACCTTTTGCAAAATAACACAATTTGTCATACAAATATGTGATAAATCATGTATAAAAACAACCGAAAACATGAAAAATGTACTTTCAAGTAGCTATTGAATCGCTAAAATGTGAAGCGAAAATGTCAAAAACTAAAATGAAAATACAGAAAACTATTTCCACCGCGGTGGAAATAGTTTTCTGTATTTTCATTTTATGTTTTTGACATTTTCGCTTTTGTTTTTGACATTTTCATTTTAGTTTTTGACCTTTTCGTTTTTGTTTTTGACATTTTCATTTTAGCTTCTGACATTTTGGCTTTACTTTTCAGCGATTTAATATCTTCTTTGTACATGATTTATCACATATTTGTATGACAAATCGTGTTAATTTGCAAATGGTTACGATAACAGTAAGTGAAATATCAAAATATTGAAAAACAGACTCAATGTCCCTTATGGGCCACCGTACGTATCAAAGAGTAATAGGACTTTCACTGTTAAGGTCATGTGTTTTCCCAGGCTACAAGTATTGTCATGAGACCGGGAATTCATTTATATTTCTCATCATACCAGGAGCAAGTAAATTACTTGAAGAATGTTTGTGGTTGAAGTAGGCATGCTGTTTTCCCATAACCGAATTTTATTTTGTTTGTTTATTGTTTAAAGACGAATAGTATATCTGTAAATAATCGAGTCTAGACAGACAATCCAGTGATTGGCATTATGAGCATCGATGTACGCAATTGGGATATGATGACGTGCATTAACGAAGACAGGGTGCCTGACAACCCGATCCCGTTAGTCGCCTCTTACCACTAGCATGGGTTGCTGAAGACCAATTTCAACCCAGATCTTCACAGTGTGAACCGAAGGTAATGGCATCACGGAAGCGCATGTGGTTTGTCTTGGGCTTTCGGGAAATGGTGACGATCTGTCTGCCTCTCTACTTGCAATGTATTTCTCCATTGGAGGTCACGTCAGCGAACTTTGGCAGCCCAATCAAACTAACGGGTGCGTGGATTTTTTAGCCTATCAGATGACAGCTTTCAAAAGCTCAATCTCATTAAAATCAGATCCTAGTTCTCGCTACCGCTAAACAAAGATCTGAGGACATCCCATTACGGGTTACGTCGACCTTTTATCCGACCAATCAGGGCGTCGCTTACCAGATCATGAAAGTGACAGTCGGAATGTGATTTCTAATCATGCAACCTCGAAAACTTTAACACGTGGTATTCCGAACGATAGTTACGGGTTTAACGACTGAATCCATACAATTTAGTCCATCTATTAGCCACTCCAGAATGTTCTTTTGTCCAGGTTTAAAATGTTAAATTGAGAATTTGTCCAAATATGTTTCGAAGCATAGTCGCCAATTTGAATTTAGTGCCGTAAAGCACGAGAAGGCTACCTTCTGATTCGCTAATGTCGACTTCTTGTCAGTCCTTCCATTGGTCGGTCAAAATTCGCGCAAGGTCGGTCTGACGTGACCCGTAATGGGATGTCCTCAAATCTTTGTTTAGCGATAGCGAGAACTAAGATCTGATTTAAATGAGATTGACAAAAGTTTGGCCAGGTTTACTTATATTTGTGAATCGAAATGGTAATCCATTAAAAAAGAAAGTATTATGGCGTTGATGGAAAGACGCTAAAGACCGACAGGGTGAAACATATCCAAATCATAGCTCCATTACCGTTATCCATTCGTAACTGCCCGCGTAAGTTCATTTTCGAGACACAGAACTCACTCGCACTGAGAACCTAGAAACCACTCTGATTGGCTGGTTACAAAGTTCACCTGACGACGTCCTATTTAGGGTTTGTCATATATTGAGGACACGATCTAATTCTATTGAATAACATCAATATATAGAGGACGAATATTCCTTCCAATTAACGAAGGAGTGGCGAGTGTGTAAGGCCTTAAAAGTCAGTAGAAATAAACAGAGAAAATGATAACGAAGGGTGAAAAAATGAAAAGATTTTACTTTATTTGTCATACTTCTGCTTCATGAGATAAGTACATTCGACATATTGATAATAAGTGTCCATATTTAGATCTTATTCCACCGTGTTCTTCATGCACGATGGCTCTCTTTGTGATGGCCTGGGTGGCGGTGACACCAGCGTTCGGGAAAAGAAATATCTAAAATAACAGGAGACAAGCAAGCAAACATGATGCAACTTGATTTAAAATTAACATGTTTCCAGAGTTGTTATGCATTCAGATCACACCAGGGACGAGTAAATACATATCTCGTATTTTGGATGTTAATTCAAAATTCATATTGAAATAGTGACTGTCCCAGCAGCGTATAACTTAATTATTATTAGATATGTAGAGCGTGAATCTACGCGTCCATCATGAGAAGAGCGGCTAGGTCTGGCGAGCCTTGGGATAGGAAGAACAGAGGCAACAAATCATCGTCCATCTCCGGCAGCGGTCGTGGTCGCACTCGCCTCCTTCGGGGCACTCTCTTTGCGCTTCGTTGTGCAATGGCTATGTCTGCGCAGTTGCGGATTTCGTTTGGAGCGTAGCATATTCTGGGCGGAATGAGGTAGGTGTTGCAGTCAGCAAGAAGATACTGGTCTGTGGACAGAAAAGAAAAATTGTTGTATTTAAAAAAATGAATTGATTATACGCTCTGTCGTATTCATTGCACAATATTGTTACAAGATGTACCCCTCCTCAAACAAACGCTTAGGGTTCCGAGTTAGAATACGTCCCAAGCAGCATATGCTTGGTCAGAGACCATATACCGGTATATGGTCTCTGGCTTGGTTGAAAGAAGATTGGGAGGTTGTTTGTTGGTGAACGCCGCACTCAGCAATATTTCATCTATATCACGGCGGTGGAAACCAGAAATAGGAATCGGGCATCATAGCTTGAATATTGCTGAGTGCGGCGTTAAACAACGATCAAACAAGCATTGAGCACATGTCGCGAATCGAACACGGTTCTCCGAGCAAACTCTTTAACCACTAGGCTACCCTACCGCCGGGTATGCCGGTTTATGCGCGGATCGATGCTCATGACATCAATCAATGGATTGCGTGGTCCACACTCGATTATTTACAGACCGCCGTCATACAGCTGGAATACATCTTCCCGAGGCAAGGGAGTTAACTGTATATAAAAGTCCAGTTTCCACCCTTGCCGATCTAGGCTGCAGGTATGGAGTTATATTTTGGCTGGACTAACGAGTCTATGCATAGTCCAATCAAAATCGCGCATGAAATCATCCAATTCGTAAACTGTGCAGATTTCGGTCGAATGCAGGATTTGCAAAGCATGTCTACTGTCAACTTAGCTTCAAAAGATATTTTCCAGATCTCTTCATGTTTTTAATCAAGGTGATCACGTGATTTCATGCATTTCGCGAAGTAAGTATCGTTTTATTTCAATATAGATCTTGATTATCGATCAGGTCGTCTTGACTGGCCGCCGCCATTTTGTTTGAAGCAAATGCATGTGATATGATAGGTGTAATCTGATTGGTCAATAGGAGGGACATAGAAGGGACATAACTCATAATAGCCACTGGTGGCGCTTCGATCAAGCCCAGAAATTCCAACCTAGTTTGGCAAGGGTGGAAACTGGACTTTTAAAGTCATTTAACTCCCTTTCCTCGGGAAGATGGTTAATGAGTCTAGCTAGTTTATGCATATTATCGTATCCTATAGTTGCGTAGATCGGTGATCATGATATCAATCGCTGGATTGTCTGTTCCGGCCTCGATTAGTGAGTGCGGCGCTTAACAAACAAACGAGCAAAGGATGGCATGTACATGTTGAAATGACGGACATGTTCATTCTGTGGTAACAGGATGTCACGACCATTGGCATATTGCTCACGTTTCTGCCACTGTGCATGCTTTACGTCCTCGACCTTGTCTCTCATGTGAGACACTCGGTCACAATAGTGTCATGTCTTCTCATATATTCTGTCTCGTAAAGTTTAAACGTCACAGCTTTTTTTCGGAAATAACATTAAAATTTTCATTCCTCGACCCGTTTCGCTGTATTTGTTTAATAGAGTCGTCGGTGTCTCATACGGACACACTCGCTTCACGCGATCTTGGCGTTACTGACGTGGCATTTCTATGTGCAAAAGGGACTCGCCGTAAATCATGGGACAGGACTGTATTTGCATATTTTCAGGTATCTGTTTTCAAAAGTGCATTTTATCTACCAAGTGAATGGTGTGTTGTCAAGTGTGTATTTCATGTGTATGTGTGCGTGCGTGCGTGCGTGGGTGCGTGCGTGCGTGCGTGCGTGCGTGCGTGCGTGCGTGCGAGTGTGCTCGCGCGCACACGTGAACGTGAACGTGAACTTTTAAGTGAGTATTGTGAGCGAGTGTGGTGCGAACGTGTTAGAGGTGTTGAGGGTGGAAGGGAGTTCGTTGTTGAGTAAGTTGAACCAGGTCTCTGTAAGGGCGAGTGTTTTGTAGAGTAAAGGCGAGTGTGTAGGTGAACCAGGTCTCTGTAAGGGCGAGTGTTGTGTTGAGTAACGGCGAGTGTGTAGGTGAGCTAGGTCTCTGTAAGGGCGAGTGTTGTGTTGAGTAAGGGCGAGTGTGTAGGTGAGCTACGTCTCTGTAAGGGCGAGTACTTTGTAGAGTAAAGGCGAGTGTGTAGGTGAACCAGGTCTGTGTAAGGGCGAGTGTTCTGTTGAGTAAGGGCGAGTGTGTAGGCGAACTAGGTCTGTATCAGAGCGAGTGCTGTGTTGAGTAAGCGCGAGTTTGTGGGTGGAGTATTCATGTGTGAGGGCGAGTGTTTTGCAGAGTAAAGGTGAGTGTGTAGGTGAACCAGGTCTCTGTGAGGGCGAGTGTTTGGTAGAGTAAAGGCGAGTGTGTAGGTGAACCAGTTCTCTGTAAGGGCGAGTGCTTTGTAGAGTAAAGGCGAGTGTGTAGGTGAACCAGGTTTCTGTAAGGACGAGTGTTGTGTTGAGTAAGGATGAGTGTGTAGGTGAACTAGGTCTGTGTGAGGGTGAGTGCTGTGTTGAGTGAGTGAGTGAGTGAGTTGGTTTAACGCCTCTTTTAACAGTATTCCGGTTATATCACGGCGTGTCAGCTCAATGTGGGAGGAAAGCCCGAAGTGATGCAGGTCTCAGACGTTTAGCACTTCGGTGAAACCCACGAGCACGGTGGGTGCTGACAAACCTAGAAACATAATCGGGGCGAACCGGGATTCGAACCCACAATCATAGGTTTCTGGCATGTTCAAGGGACGCAACTCTGCACAGCGAATCGCGTTGCCTTAGACGACTGGGCCACCTGTGCCCCCAGTGCAGTGTTGAGTAAGTGCGAGTTTGTGGGTGGAGTATTCATGTGTGAGGGCGAGTGTTCTGTTGAGTAAGGGCGAGTGTGTGGGTAAACTAGTTCTGTATTAGAGAGAACGTTTAGTCTGTGAGGGCGAGTATTCTGTTGAGTAAAGGCGAGTGTGTTGGTGAACTAGTTCTGTATTAGAGCGAACGTTTTGTCTGTGAGGGCGAATGTTCTGTTGAGTAAGGGCGAGTGTGTGTAGGTAAACTAGGTTTGTGTGAGGACGAGTATTCTGTTGAGTAAGGGCGAGTGTGTTGGTGAACTAGTTCTGTATTAGAGCGAACGTTTTGTCTGTGAGGGCGAGTATTCTTTTGGGTAAGGGCGTGTGTTTTGGTGAAGTATGTCTGTCTGAGGGCGAGTGTGAGGTATGAGGTGAACCAGGTCTCTGTAAGTGTGTAGGTAAACTAGGTCTGTGTGGGGACGAGTATTAGAGCGAACGTTTTGTCTGTGAGGGCGAGTGTTCTGTTGAGTAAGGGCGAGTGTGTAGGTGAACTAGGTCTGTATGAGAGCGAGTATTCTGTTGAGTAAGGACGAGTGTGTAGGTGAACTAGTTCTGTATGAGAGCGAGTATTCTGTTGAGTAACGGCGAGTGTGTTGGTGAACTAGTTCTGTATTAGAGCGAACGTTTTGTCTGTGAGGGCGAGTGTGTAGGCGAACTAGGTCTGTATGAGAGCGAGTGTTTTGTTGAGTAAGGGCGTGTGTGTAGGCGAACTAGGTCTGTATGAGAGCGAGTGTTTTGTTGAGTAAGGGCGAGTGTGTAGGCGAACTAGGTCTTTATGAGAACGAGTGTTTTGTTGAGTAAGAGCGAGTGTGTAGGTGAACTAGGTCTGTATGAGAGCGAGTGTTTTGTTGAGTAAGGGCGTGTGTGTAGGCGAACTAGGTCTTTATGAGAGTGAGTGTTCTGTTGAGTAAGGGCGTGTGTGACGGCGAACTAGGTCTGTATGAGAGCGAGTGTTTTGTTTAGTAAGGGCGTGTGTGTAGGCGAACTAGGTCTGTATGAGAGCGAGTGTTTTGTTGAGTAAGGGCGAGTGTGTAGGCGAACTAGGTCTGTATGAGAGCGAGTGTTTTGTTGAGTAAGGGCGTGTGTGACGGCGAACTAGGTCTGTATGAGAGCGAGTGTTTTGTTGAATAAGGGCGTGTGTGTAGGCGAACTAGGTCTCTATGAGAGTGAGTGTTTTGTTGAGTAAGGGCGTGTGTGTAGGCGAACTAGGTCTGTATGAGAGCGAGTGTTTTGTTGAGTAAAGGCGTGTGTGTAGGTGAACTAGGTTTGTGTGAGGACGAGTATTCTGTTGAGTAAGGGCGAGTGTGTTGGTGAACTAGTTCTGTATTAGAGCGAACGTTTTGTCTGTGAGGGCGAGTATTCTTTTGGGTAAGGGCGTGTGTTTTGGTGAAGTATGTCTGTCTGAGGGCGAGTGTGAGGTATGAGGTGAACCAGGTCTCTGTAAGTGTGTAGGTAAACTAGGTCTGTGTGGGGACGAGTATTAGAGCGAACGTTTTGTCTGTGAGGGCGAGTGTTCTGTTGAGTAAGGGCGAGTGTGTAGGTGAACTAGGTCTGTATGAGAGCGAGTATTCTGTTGAGTAAGGACGAGTGTGTAGGTGAACTAGTTCTGTATGAGAGCGAGTATTCTGTTGAGTAACGGCGAGTGTGTTGGTGAACTAGTTCTGTATTAGAGCGAACGTTTTGTCTGTGAGGGCGAGTGTGTAGGCGAACTAGGTCTGTATGAGAGCGAGTGTTTTGTTGAGTAAGGGCGTGTGTGTAGGCGAACTAGGTCTGTATGAGAGCGAGTGTTTTGTTGAGTAAGGGCGTGTGTGTAGGCGAACTAGGTCTTTATGAGAACGAGTGTTTTGTTGAGTAAGGGCGAGTGTGTAGGTGAACTAGGTCTGTATGAGAGCGAGTGTTTTGTTGAGTAAGGGCGTGTGTGTAGGCGAACTAGGTCTTTATGAGAGTGAGTGTTCTGTTGAGTAAGGGCGTGTGTGACGGCGAACTAGGTCTGTATGAGAGCGAGTGTTTTGATGAGTAAGGGCGAGTGTGTAGGCGAACTAGGTCTGTATGAGAGCGAGTGTTTTGTTGAGTAAGGGCGTGTGTGTAGGCGAACTAGGTCTGTATGAGAGCGAGTGTTTTGTTGAGTAAGGGCGAGTGTGTAGGTGAACTAGGTCTGTATGAGAGCGAGTGTTTTGTTGAGTAAGGGCGAGTGTGTAGGCGAACTAGGTTTTTATGAGAACGAGTGTTTTGTTGAGTAAGAGCGAGTGTGTAGGTGAACTATGTCTGTATGAGAGCGAGTGTTTTGTTTAGTAAGGGCGTGTGTGTAGGCGAACTAGGTATGTATGAGAGCGAGTGTTTTGTTGAGTAAGGGCGAGTGTGTAGGCGAACTATGTCTGTATGAGAGCGAGTGTTTTGTTGAGTAAGGGCGTGTGTGACGGCGAACTAGGTCTGTATGAGAGCGAGTGTTTTGTTGAATAAGGGCGTGTGTGTAGGCGAACTAGGTCTCTATGAGAGTGAGTGTTTTGTTGAGTAAGGGCGTGTGTGTAGGTGAACTAGGTCTGTATGAGAGCGAGTGTTTTGTTGAGTAAGGGCGTGTTTGTAGGCGAACTAGGTCTGTATGAGAGCGAGTGTTTTGTTGAGTAAGGGCGTGTGTGTAGGTGAACTAGGTCTGTATGAGAGCGAGTGTTTTGTTGAGTAAGGGCGTGTGTGTAGGCGAACTAGGTCTGTATGAGAGCGAGTGTTTTGTTGAGTAAAGGCGTGTGTGTAGGTGAACTAGGTCTGTATGAGAGCGAGTGTTTTGTTGAGTAAGGGCGTGTTTGTAGGCGAACTAGGTCTGTATGAGAGCGAGTGTTTTGTTGATTAAGGGCGAGTGTATAGGTGAACTAGGTCTGTATGAGAGCGAGTGTTTTGTTGAGGAAGGGCGTGTGTGTAGGCGAACTAGGTCTGTATGAGAGCGAGTGTTTTGTTGAGTAAGGGCGTGTGTGTAGGCGAACTCGGTCTGTATGAGAGCGAGTGTTTTGTCGAGTAAGGGCGTGTGTGTAGGCGAACTATGTCTGTATGAGAGCGAGTGTTTTGTTGAGTAAGGGCGAGTGTGTAGGCGAACTAGGTCTGTCTGAGAGCGAGTGTTTTGTTGAGTAAGTGCGAGTGTGTAGGTGAACATGTAGTAGTCTCCCAGAAAGAACATGCAAACGCATTTATTCAACTCAAATTTTAATACGTTTCAAATTAGTGAACAGAGGTTTACATTCGATAAAGCGGAATGTATGTAGATGGACTCTTCGACGGCGGGGCAATGGCGATGTCAGCACAGTTCCGATACTCATAGGGGTACAAACAGGTCCTTGGGAAAGGAAACCGCATGCATTCCGAATTTGATGAATAGATGTCTGATAAATAGAAGCAGAGTATATGTTGAAGCGAGGGCTCATGCGAGGGTTGCTCCTCAAACTTACTGTATTTGTTTGGAAATGGAAATAAGAATGTTTCGAAGAAAGTATCCTCGATTACCTCGTGTATTAAATCTCCATTCTATAATGATAAATACCCTAGACCCACATCGTTTGGAAAGTGTATTCATCACGTTCATCGCTCCTCTCTCTCTCTCTCTCTCTCTCTCTCTCTCTCTCTCTCTCTCTCTCTCTCTCTCTCCCTCCCTCTCCCTCTCTCTCTCTCTCTCTCTCTCTCTCTCTCTCATGCATCAGTGGTGGCGACTGGGTCCTCCCTGTTCGAAGAGGAACTCATAACGAGGTATATATTATTTAGTCAATCGATGGTTACATTTGATTCTCTGCAAAAAATAAATAGTTACCAAAATTCTTGGTTTCTGTTAAAGAGGGTACGAAGCAATCCCGGGTTATAGAAGTATTTAATACACCACGGACGAAATAACCAATATATTGCGTAGAGGTAACCAAGCAACGACAAGCAGGCATGCTGTCCATCATGATCTGAGGTCATTACACTGTCTGTCCAACCCGTTATTTCCCCAACACGGCACCTGCCACACATCTAACTGGTTTTATAGAGATGCGGTCTGGGCAGACATGACACGTAAGCTTGTTTGTAACTCGTTTGTGTGCGACAACCCAAACTGCTGACACAAATCGTCGTTCTATGTGCATGGATCTGAACACCTGTGTAATATATGACCCCGAGTCGGTGTTTGAGTGAATGGTTTTCGACGCCGCAGTGAGCAGTATTCCAGGGGGTGGGGTGGGGGTGTGTGTGTGTGTGTGTGGGGGGGGGGGGTGTGTGTGTGTGTGTGTGTGTGTGTGTGTGTGTGTGTGTGTGTGTGTTAATATATATTTTCTTAAAATAAAACTATGCGTCATATCAAATATCAAATATGCTCGTGGGTTTCACCAAAGTGGTAAACGTCTCAGACCTGCATTACTTCGGGCTTTCCTCCCACATTAAGCTGACACGCCTCGATATAACTGGAATACTGTTAAAAGTGGCGTTAAAACCCAACTCACTCACTCACTCACTCACACTCATTCAGGGTCAAACCGAACCATTTGTCATCACTCGCCCCTTTCCGCAACCTGCAAGAAGACTCGTCCCCCTATCGATGAATGTTATGTGCGAAAAAACGACAAACCTATCAGAATTACTTTGGCCAAAGAATCCCTCAATATAATGTTTGATTTTACACACACTCTTCAAAAAAAGAAACACACGGTTAGTATGTAGTTCATTGAACCTGACTACACACACAATCCGGTATATAAATTGGATATATGTTCTTGGAAAATGTTGGTGGCCTGATATTCGACAAACAGTACCAGTGCGTCAAAACGCAGCCATTGTCGATTTGCAATGTCTTTAACGGCATTGTTTTCACATAACAAAAATGTCATGGGGAATTCCGTAAAGCAAAATGCACGCGCAAGATATGGCATTCGTAACTCGTGGTAGTGGCTATAAAAGGCGAGCATAAGCCAATAATTTGTCATTCAATTGTCAACATTTTTCAAGTTCGAAAATGCCAAGACTCCATAGGACGTATCCAAAGGGGGGAATCGCAGTCTTCTGTTGCACGCCACTTCAACGTCCACCACAGCACCATTTGCCGCCTTTGGGAACGATACACACAGTTCAATTCCACTGCAGATCGTCCGAGAAACGGCAGACCAATAGTTGCCACCCCTGCACAGGATCGCTATATTCGACTGTTCCACCTACGTCATCGCAATGCCACAGCTTCGGAGACTGCGGGACGCATCCCAGGTTTGAGGAGGATATCGGACCAGACTGTCAGGAACCATCTTCGCGAGGCAGGAATCCGACCCAGAAGACCGGTTATCGCCCCTGTTTTGCAACAGATCCACCGACGGCGACGCTTGCGTTGGTGCCATACCTTACGGCCTTAGAATTTGAGAAACTGTGGAGACGATAGTGGTTTAGCGATGAATAACGATTTCTTCTTCCCCGACGAGATGGAAGACAACGTGTTTATCGTCGTCGAAATAAGCGTTTTGCCCCACATTGTGTACGTGAATTCGACAATTTCGGTTGCGGTAGTGTCATGGTGTAGAGGGGCCATATCCTACACTACTTCAACAGGACAACGCTCCACCGCACACAGCTCGTGTCACGGTAGACTACCTTCATAATACCAACATCAACGACGTTCCCTGGCCGTCGAGATCTCCAGATCTGAACCCGATCGAACACCTTTGGGATGGACTCGATCGACGTGTACGTCAACGTCAGAACATGCCGCTGACACTCCCACAACAGGCCAACCCGTTACAAGCTGAATGGCGCAAAATTCCGCAGGACAGAATTCGTACACTTATCCAGTCAGTGCCGAGGAGATACAGAGCCGTGATTGCTGCCCGGGCCGGACACACGAGATACTGAGTTCAGCGCAACCTTATGTGACATGACAATGAACAGTTTTCAATGCCTTTGTACAACGACAACATGTGACTATCGAGCTCCAAAATTTCATATTTGAATCTATATTAAATTAAATATATCGACTTTATTAGGTACAATAGATTTACTAAAAATCTACCTGTGCGTTTCTTTTACCATACTGTACATGTATAATAATGTAAGTCCCGATGTGTTTTCAATAGCATCTGGAATATATATGATATATGGGAGAAATATACGTGAATCATAACGCAACGAGTTGACAATTAGCCATGCCCGTTTGTGCTTAGACGGAACCCAGTCGCAAATATGGCCACGAGAGGGGCACGAGTCGCTCTTCAGCTTGTCCCGGAATAACATGAGTTGGTCACGAATGAAGCCGAACGGCATTGGTGGAAAGATTTCCGCCCTAAACCCCAGCTTCAAATAACCCTACATAAATATTTTTTACATACTTTTTAAAAAAAATCGAGGCAGTGGTCACGGGCGGAAGTCTTACCGTGCAGGTTTAAGAAAGCAGATCGAGAAATCATTTTCCGTGGAAAGTGGGAACTGGTGTTTGTTGTTTAACGCCGCAATTAGCAATATTCCAGCTATAAGACGGCGATCTGTAAATAATCAAATCTGGACCATGCAGTTCAGTGATTTAGCATCGATCCACGCAGTGGGGATACGGTGACATGCATCAACCAGGTTAGGTAGTCTGACAGCCTGATCCCGTTATTCGCCTCTTACGACAAGAATGTGTTGCTGAAGGACTATTCTAACCCGGATCTTCACGAGTGGCTCTGGTGTTAGATTGATGATTCTTACCTGTGACCCAGCGCCACTGCAGGACGCAATGGCGACATGTGAGGTCCTGGGGTATGACCAGCTTCAGCTGATGTAGACCTGTTTGACGGGGATAATATCTTCTTCCGTGCCCAACGATGTTCAGCTGATACTCCGAGAAACACTCTTGAGTCACCGCCTCGTTGAGGAAATTATGAGGACACACACTGAATTCAAAGTACCCGCCCAGAAAAGTGTCAACTTGTACGCTGACGCACATGGTGCGTGTTTTGAAGGTCCTCGTGACGAAATAGCGTGGCACGTATTTCCCGTGCAGCTCGTGGTCACGTGGTGTGAAAAGTGGGTCACCGCACGCTCCGCACCATTCGTCCATATCTGGGAGGTAAGGGATCTGGAAGGGGACGAGGGGAGCGGTGAAATATGTTTTGGTATGTGTGTGTGTTTGTGTGGTTTATCGCCACTTTTCGCTATATTCCAGCAATATACAATGTCAAGAATACACATTGCACCCATGATGGGAATCGATCACTTTCAGATCAAATCATAGTTCTCGCTACCGCTTGACAAAGATCTGAGGACATTCCATTACGGGTCACGCCAGAACGCCTTTGATCCGACCAATCAGAGCGTCCTCTACCAGATCAGGAAAGTGACAGTCGGAACGTGTTTTCTAATCATGCAACCTCGAAAAGGTTAACACGGGGTATCCCGAACGACAGTGCGATTGATTCTAAGATAGCGAGAACTAAGATTTGAATTTAATAAGATTGGATGGAAATTTAAACCGGTCTTCAGACCGACGTGCCAATGCTTTATAGGGTTGTCTTTTTTTTAGCACAGGGTGTCCTTGTATAAATAACCTTAGCGCAACGGCTGTCATGAGTCTATGTTTCGGTGTGGGAGTTAAATCACGTCAGCGCCAAGATCGCTTTGTGGAACAGGGTCCTTGACAAGATGTTTTAATTCGTATCGTGTTTTAAACTGAAATGGAGCATCCATAACTATTAGAATTGAGTCCACAGTTAAACTATGTAGTGTTTGAATAACTTGAGCTAAACTTGCTTGGACTGCAAATTTCCTGGGCTCCTTTCCTCAAAGCGATGTTTGCGCTGCGACTACCTTAAGCCTATGTTAAAGTATAAGTGCTCTGTGATGCTCAAACGTGGGTATTTTTAAACTTCGTGCCGATTTTGAGAAATAAATATAATTGTGGTAATCATGGAATTGATTTATTTGTATCTTCATGGTTATATATATATATATATATATATATATATATATATATATATATATATATATATGAGCCAAACTAATAACTAGTATCTAGTTATTGTTCTAAATCAATGTTTTTTTTGTGAATGTGTAATGTATTCACATAGTAATTACAAATGGCAATTTTATATAGTTATTCAGAAATAGTTTACAACCTGCTATTTATAGTTAGTGCTAATGTGCTACCTGCTATTTATAGTTAGTGCTAATGTGCTGGCTGGTAAAATGAACTCTTGCGAAGTAATTGTGTGTAATCTCTACGAAATCTATATTATGTTTTTTTTTACAAAAATACTTTCTTTTTTTTTACTTTTATTTTTGTATCATATTTTCAGATTTTACGATACACTCCGAATAAAGATGGTTGTCCTGTGATCTGAAGTAGTGTTGTGTTGTGTGTGCCCCGCCAACATCTACCCCATATCCGCAACTACATTTTCAAAAACGCCTGTGGCCTAAGGAAGTTCTACCATGAATTTTGGATAGTATTCAAATCTGATTGGTCAATCAGAACCTTCAAATTACAATAACTACCTCTGATTGAAACATATGATTTGACCATATTCACTGAAGGCTACATAGCATACCATGATGAAGTTTATTTGTTTGTTTGTTTGTTGTTTAACGCCGCACTCAGCAATATTCCAGCTATATGACGGCGGTCTCTAAATAATCGAATCTGGACCAGACAATCCAGTGATTGACATCATGAGCATCGATCCACGCAACTGGGATACGATGACATGAATCAACCAAGTCAGCGAGTCTGACCACCTGATCCCGTTAGTCGCCTCTTACGACAAACATAGTCGCCTTTTACGGCAAGCATGGGTTGCTGAAGACCTATTCTACCCGGATCTTCACGGGTCGCATAATGAGGTCGTTATCAGAGATCAGTATACAACAAAATCTAGAAGTTTCTATAATATAATGGTATATTTAATTTTAAATACATTTATCATATTGAACATAAAAGGGCTGTTTAGACAGTATAATAGCAATAATTTCTTTCTCACATATACAAAATATTCGCATACAAATAAATAGTGATGCTCGTCTCTAATATCATTAGTTTGGCATAAGAAACATATTCTCTCTAACAGAGGTATATGGTGCCGCCGACCAGGCTCAACCGCAGAAGTTATTCTGGGTTCGCCTCTTTGGTCCAGTAGGTGAGCGTCCGCCCGGAGAGCGGGAGATCCGGAGTTCTATCCCCGGCCGCGTCATACTAAAATACGTTAAATGATGGTACTTGTTGTTACCCTGTCTGGCGCTCGGCATTAAAGGGCTTAAACAAGGACTGGTCAGCTCGGAGTCAGTATACTGTGTCTGAGTGGGGTACTGTTAAACTGCGGCATGTTCTCTCAGTGAGCTAGCACTATAAATCGGCATCAATCCGGACTAGTACAAGCAGCCACACACACACACGTGCATGCACGTCGCTATATAAGTGCAATAATCTTGAAGGCGACGTTAACCCCCTTTTCCCCTCACATTCAATTTAGCGCTGTTAAATCTACAGGTAACCAAGTTCTACATATACAAAAGACTTATCGTTTGCACGCCAAATTTAAATGGGTTGTTTCCCCCACAAAATGTTTTGCTTCATTTCAGAGAACAAGAGTGTATATATAGAAGCAGAGTCAGAAAGACGTCTATCTCGAATAGCAATGAGGTGAGGTGAGGTGAAACTGGGTTCAACGTCGCGTCCAAGGTGTTAGTGCACTTATATAGCGACGTGCATGTGTGTGTGAGTGCGTGCGTGCGTGCGTGCGTGCGTGCGTGCGTGCGTGCGTGCGTGCGTGCGTGCGTGTGTGTGTGTGTGTGTAGCTGCTTGTACTTGTCAGGACTGATGCCGACTTATAGTGCTAGCTCACTGAGATACCAAGCCGCAGTTTAACATGAATACCCCACTCAGACACAGTATACTGACTCCGAGCCGACCAGTCCTTGTTTTAGCCCCTTAATGCCGAGCCCCAGACAGGGTAACAACAAGTACCATCTTTTAACGTGTTTTGGTATGACGCGGCCAGGGATCGGACCCCGGACCTTCCGCTCTCCGGGCGGACGCTCTGTCACCAGTCCACGGAGGCGGTCCGAACAGCAATGAAAGAACAACTGCATAAATGTATACTTACCAAATTGGCAGCGCAGGTTATATCGGAATCGTTTCTGTTCACCGGTAGTTTGTACCCATATCTCCAGAGACTTGACCTATTGGGCGGGTCCACCATGCGACCCCTCGCCGTCACCATGGCAACCAAGATGTAGCAGACGACAGCAAACAGCAAGGATATTTGAAAATTCATAATTATTTTTTTAGATCTGACACCTTCTCTTAACTTAAGAAAGTAAAATTCAAGAATTGGAATGATGAAATAAATACGAAATATTCCAAAATGAAGAGGTGTTTTTGCTGTTGCCTCTTCCGTTCACCAGCAAGAGATGAATACAGTAGATCAGAAGATTCTCGTGACGTGGTACGGTTTAAAGGTTTTCCAAAGAAAGGGGAAAATAAGCAAGCCCATTTATCTTTAGAAAAACTCCTCCACATTTCCCCATCATGATCGGTGAGATGTTCTACATCACGTGACTTAAAGTCCTTTCAACGCGTGTTGTGTTTCGACGATTCGCCGGACTTTAACTGGGAACAGAGACTAAAAAAATTCACACTCTCTTTCAATGTCACTTCACGTGTTTATTTGCTTTGTATATGTAAGCTTGTCCCGTGTGTAAGAAAAAGTCCCAAATGGCGCCAGTAAACAAAGTATAAATAGTTCACGACAATTTGTAATGAGGACAGATACACAGCATCGCCTAAACGCAACTGAATCTGAAAAAGAAACAGCTTTCATTATCATAATGTTCCAGCTTTCGTAAACAGAAACGTGACAACATTTAGACCTTTTGTCCAACAATAACGTCATGGCGGATTTATCATTGCCTTCGAGCAAAAGTGTGAGGTGGTGAGGTGAAATTGGGTTTAACGTCGCGTCCAAGATTATTGCACTTATATAGCGACGTGCATGTACGTGTGTGTATGTGTGTGGCTGCTTGTACTAGTCCGGACCGATGCCGATTTATAGTGCTAGCTCACTGAGATACCATGCCGCAGTTTAACATGAATACCCCACTCAGACACAGTATACTGACTCCGAGCCGACCAGTCCTTGTTTTAGCCCCTTAATGCCGAGCGCCAGACAGGGTAACAACAAGTACCATCTCTTAACGTCTTTTGGTTAACGACCCCCGGACCTTCCGCTCTCCGGGCGGACGCTCTACCATTAGACCACGGAGGCGGTCTCGAGCAAAAGTAAACAAGCCACGCGAACTTGCAGCACATGTCACTATGAGGTGAAGCAACGTTCATTGCGGAGAGTAGTTGCATGGGTGACCGTGTTCGGCAGCTTGTCTCCTTAGCTGCTAGGGCTTAAGTCCTGCCCCACACTGAAGCACGTGTAACATATCTGGTGTCTCCTTAGACACCCGACTTTGTTCGAAATATGCCTCAGTTCACCCAGCACTGAATGGGTACCCGGTAGGATGAGATGGTTATGTAAGCAAAGAATGAAAATCGAGTGCACACTGATCCATATTGAAGAATTGTGGAAAGCGATTTGGAGCATCATATATCGGCTATATAAACAGGGTATCATTAATATTAGATTAAAAGGAATTCGCTCTTCACGAACATAATATCAAATTGTTTTTGTTGATTTTGAGCAGTCTATTCCAACGCCATTACATTTCCCTCTGTCATTTAGAATTCTCTTTGTAAAATAGTTTGCATGGTCAACACTAGAGATGAAACACATGCTTGTTTAAATGACACACTCACCGGTCAGGTTAAGCGAGAAAAAGAACGTCGATTGATGTTCGCAATTCCCTGCATGTTCCAACATCTCGTTAGTTTACATTTTTATTTTGAAACAAATTTACTCACGATGTCTTCTATATATAACGGGATGAATGTGTTAAGAGGGTATCTATTTAAGGAGTGTATAACATTCCCGGTTTTGTCGTATAAACGTGTTTCTAGTATTATATAAATAAATTGCTTGGTTGTTTACACGCCTTGTTAATTTGGTCATGTCTCGTCATGATTTATCAAAATTGTTGACCCGTGAAGATCCGATGAAGAATTTGTTTTCAGCAACCCATGCATGTCATAAGTGGCAACGAACGGGATCGGGTTGTCAGACTCGTAGACTTGGTTGATGTGTAACATGTGATCGTATCCCAATTAGGTAGGTCGATGCTCATAATGTCCATCACTGGATTGTCTGGCCAGACACAATTATTTACAGACCGCCTTCATATAGCTGGCACCCGTGAAGATCCGGGTTAGAATATGTCTACAGCAACCCATGCTTGACGTGAGAGGCGACCATGTTTGACGTTATAGGCGACTAATGGGATCGGGTGGTCAGGCTCGCTGACTTGGTTGATGCATGTCATCAATCCCAATTATGTAAAACGATGCTCATTATGTCCATCACTGGATTGTCTGGTCCAGACACGATGATTGACAGACCGCCTTCATATAGCTGGCACCCGTGAAGAACCGGGTCAGAAAAGGCCTATAGCAACTCATGTTTGCCGTAAGAAGCGACTGCGTTTGTCGTAAGAGGCGACTAACGGGATCGGGTGGTTAGGCTCGCTGACTTGGTTGATGCATGTCATCGTATCTTATTTGCGTGGATGGATGCATATGATATCAGTCACTGGATTGTCTGGTCCATTTATTATCTGGCCGCCATCATTTTGTTGGAATATTGCTGAGTGCGGCGTTAAACAACAAAATTGTTGTCGTGTGAGTGAGTGAATGTTGTTTAACGCCGTAGTTTGCAGTTTACGATGTGCTTGTCATAATATTAACAATATTTGATCTTGACTCCGCACCAAAAACCTAAAATGGACTTGAGCTTTCCTCACTAGAAAGGAAGGATTTCGTACTCTTCTCTACTTGATGCCATCCGCTGAGCAGAGTTGCGTCCCTTGGGCACGTCAGAAACTTCCGATTGTGGATTCGAATCCCGGTTCGCTCCGATTTTGTTTCAAGGTTTGTTAGCACCATACCTGTGCTTGTGGGTCTCACCAGAGTTGTAAACGTCTTGAGACCTGCATCACCTCGGGCTTTCCTTCCACGTTATGCCGATACGTGATATGGAATACTGTTAAAAGCGACGTTAAACCCAACTCACTCACTCCACGTCGGTGACGTCGTTACTCTCATCTACGTCGGTAACGTTACTCTTATCTACGTCGGTGACGTCGTTACTCTTATCTACGTCGGTGACGTCGTTAGTCTTATCTACGTCGGTGACGTCGTTACTCTTATCTACGTCGGTAACGTTACTCTTATCTACGTCGGTGACGTCGTTACTCGTATCTACGTCGTTACTTTTCTCCGTGTTACGTCGTTGACGTCGTTTGTCAAAAGGATTCTACTTTCGTTACATTCACTTAGTAATTAGAAAAGGAAAGACCAAACCCATTCCCACTCTGGCGGCAAACAGGAACAGTGGATATGGTACCCATAGACCAAAGATCACAACCAGGGTTGGTCCGTGGATTCTTACGCGTCTAAGACTCTTCACAGCTTTACAGTGCCTCATGAGGACGCAATCCAAAAAACACATCCCACATTCAAATCGGACAAGAAATACCGACAGGTCTCATTTATTTATGTCACAAAATATACTTTTTTACATTCTTTTTTTGTTCACCCTGACGACAGGGCGACTTCTGACAACATCGTGAGAATGGTCTGCATCATCGTAGACAGTGACAGTTCTCATGGATGTTGTATTTACATGACCGCCATAGTTAACCATGCATACCCAAGGCCTAGTCATAGGAATACTAATGAATCGCGTTAACTTGCTGAGCTAGGAGATTGTCAAATTCGGGGTCCTGTGTAATTATTTACTTACTTCTTTGCTGTTGTTTACGTCAATGCTTATTTTATCACAATGTCTTTGCCCCGTTCCTTGAAACATTTCGTATGAGCTCATCTGTAGACACTGGCTAAATACGTCATGTTTTGTTTACTATCCTAACTTGTCCTTCTTCGACGGGTATTTAGTCATTTAAAACGTGCTCCCATGCGTCAGCTGGTGTGCCAGCTTGGTGTGTACGTTGGGGGTGTGGGATGTGGGAGGAAAACCTGCTACACCACACGAACCGTCTTATATCACGACTGCTTGTATAACAACAATAGGAGTAGATACTACCGTGTTGTCGCGAGCCGTAAAAGGCGACTAATGGGATCGGGCTGACTTGGTTGATGCATGTCATCGAATCCCAATTGCGTGGATCGATGCTCATGATATCAATCCCTGGATTGTCTGGTCCAAACTTGATTATTTACACATCGCCGTCAAATAGCTGGAATATTGCTGAGCGCGGCGTTAAACAACAAACAAACAAACAAGGAAACACCAAAGCACATTTCGCACGGAAAATGACCCGAGCGACCCGTGAAGATCCGTGTTAGAAAAGGTATTCAGCAACCCATGCCTGTCGTAAGAGGCGAATAACAGGATCGGACGGTCAGCCTCGCTGACCTGGTTGATGCATGGCACCATATCCTCATTGCGTGTATCGATGCTCATGATGTCAATCACTGGATTGTCTGGTCCAGACTGGATTATTTACAGACAACAAACAAACTGTGTACAGCTGGGGATTATTAACCACTGCCTTAATATCAATCTAGTCTTAGGCCGTGTTTTCTCTCGTACAGAGACAAAACGTGTACAACATCTCATGCAAGTCAATAGGTCGTCAGTATTATTTGCTATCGATGTTGGGACCATCTCCGGGGTCTGGGGGACAGAACGGCTGTCCGGAAGGTCGGTGGTTCGATTCCCGACTGCGTCATACCAAAACATGGTTTAAGATCGTTTTTTTTGTTGTTTGGCATTTACAAGGACTGATGGGCCAGGAGTCAGCGTCTGGATGGGATATCCACGCGAAACTGCAGCAAGGTATATCAGTGGGCTAACTCTATAAATATAACCGGCTATAGCCCTGACTAGTACAAGCAGCCACACACGCACACACACATGCAATAATGTTGAACCCCATTTCACCTCACCTATTGATAGTCCGGACAAGTACCACAAGCAGAGATACAAACAAACAAACACTCACACACACAAACACACACGCACACACACATGCACACACTAAGTGTCATTATCGAAGTGTCGTCGAGGTATGTTGGGTGTCAAACATGGGTGAGGTGAGGTGAAATGGGGTTTAACGTCGCGTCCAAGATTATTGCACTTATATAGCGACGTGCATGCACGTGTGTGTGTGTGGCTGCTTGTACTTGTCCGGACTGATGCCGATTTATAGTGCTAGCTCACTGAGATACCAAATAGCAAAACACTTGAAAATGTCATATTACTACTAGTCCTTATGATACCTGAACTATTGGGCAGTTTGGCAAGGACTACAGGACTAGTGCCAATATCTAACCCTGCCTTCTGTAAGATGTAAAACAGAGCTCTTTGTGCAAAAGGAATATATTTTGCAGTAATCAGGTGAGGTGAGGTGAAATGGGGTTTAACGTCGCGTCCAAGATTATTGCACTTATATAGCGACGTGCATGCACGTGTGTGTGTGTGGCTGCTTGTGCTAGTCCGGACTGATGACGATTTATAGTGCAAGCTCACTGAGGTACCATGCCGCAGTTTAACATGAATACCCCACTCAGACACAGTATACTGACTCCGAGCCGACCAGTCCTTGTT